GGAGCGGCTGGTAGTTTCGAACCGCTGACCTTAAGGTTCGCAGCCCGATTCGTAACCACTACGCTACCAGAGCAGTCAGGCTTACAGCCTCCTAAACTGCGAGAGAAGAAAGTTCCGGTGTTAACACCTTTGTGTGTGACATTTCTGTGCATATCAGCTATGATACCCCCTCTCTGCCCACTGGGAAAACAAACTGCATAGTGTGTCCTGCTCCCGTCCCCACCCAGGGTGGCCAGATTTTCTGAGCTGCAGGTGACTTCTGGATTTACGGTCACTGACTGGAGCAGCGGTGCCTACAGGCTGCATCCTGCACACTATTCCAGAGACATATATAACCATTACTGGATGGAGTGGCCCCTGGAGGCTCACAAAGCTGCACAAACACTGGGGTTTATGGGTGGGGGCGTGCAGCCCTCTTGCCTGGAGATCTGTGCCTCTCTTCAGGCCAGGCCTGCTCTTTGAAGTCCATTAGGATCTGAGTGTGTGACTTTGCGTCCCAATATCTTTGGCCGTATTGTAGCTTGGCTGGCCTCGAGACCATGGCCTGCCCCAGCAGCGTGCTCCAGCCACTAACCCCCCCATGATGAAATGGGAGGATGGGGCCTTTCAAACCCCCAGGCTTGACTCGCCAGGGTCTGGAATGGGTAGAACAGCCCCACAGCAGGCCGCTTGCTGCCTGCCACTCCTCCTGGCCCCCACTCAGGCCCATGCTCCGTCTGCCCTAACCCTGCCACCAGGAAAGCGCCCAAACTCTAGCTGTGCTTATGAATCTGCCAGTGGACTGCCATGGTCAGCCACTCTGAGCACACTCTGGGGGCAGGAGCCATGTCAGAGCCCCTGCTGTTGAGCTCAGGGATGGCACATAGTAGGTATTCAACCAAGGCACGTCGAGCAAACACATGACCCCTGGCATGAATCTCAGGGATGGCACATAGTAGGTACTCAATCAAGGCATGTTGAGCGAATGCATGACCCCTGGCATGGAGTTCAGGGCTGACACAGTTGGTGCTGAACTCGAGTTGAGTGAATGCATGACCCACAGGGAACACAGGTGGTTGGAGTCCCAGGGGCCCCAGGTGGTAGACCACCCCCCACCACACACACACACACACACTCACCGCACAGCCGTCCACCAGGGCGCGGATATAAGGGTTATTGTCATAGGACATCTCTTCATCGTTGGAGCCCAGGAAGCGGATGGCCTTGTCATAGCTGCCCGTGGCGGCGTCCTGCCAAGCGACCGACTGGTAGCAGTTATAAGTGATGTTCTGCTGGGCGGAGGCACTCAATAGCCGCAGGAAGGTCATCTGTACCACGCCCACAGGGCTGCCCTCAGCGTCCACATAGGAAAGCTGCAGAGGGAAGAAGGTGGGGGACTCAGCAGAGAAGGACATGCCCAGCAACACAACCCACAGCCACAGTGGCTGGAAAAAGACCACCACCAACCAAGGTCCACATGCCCCGCGGCACCCAGGAACAAAGTGGCGGGAATTCCACTCACTCCTCTGCCTGGCTGGCTCGTCCTCCAGCTCAGCACATGTGCAGCCTCCTCCTGGGAGCCCACCCTGATTCCACCCCATCTGGTCACGCACTCCCATATCTGACTCTTTGGCCCATGGAGCCTGCCTGCCTCCCTTAGGCTCCTTGAAGCATGTGCACTCCCTACTAGGGGTGGTGCTTGCTCTGCCCAGGACTGGACCCACCACTCAGCAAGGGAGGTGGCCACAGTGGGAGGTGAGGAGATTACACATATGGACAGACCTCTAGGTCACCCGCTTATCCTGTGGCCCCATTTACTTTCCTAACCTTGGAAGTTCATAGGGTCAGGTGGCTGCCCATCTGGCCTGGACACCACAGACCTCTTCCCTTCTGTCCCTAGAAAGCATTGCTGGTCTCTAGCACCTGCCCTGCCCCCACTGCCTAATGACCTGACTGGCAATCCCCTCCCCTGGGGCCTGTGTGTGTTCAATGAACAATGCCCTCTTGTTGACCAGACAGGGTTTGTACAGCCTGGAGCCTTGGGTCTGGAGGTGGGTCTGGATTTCTTCCAGATGGGTGGATGGTGGGCAGATGGGGGTGTGGGGCGAGATGGAGGAGGTCTCATGCCCCGTCCACAGGCAGCATCCAGGGTCCAGGTGAGAAGCAGGGAGGGACTGACCCTAGCTACCCAGATTTTCAATGTAATGAGGCAATACTGAGAGGCACAGAGCCAAGCCTGGGGACTGCTCTTCCCCCAGGGGCAGGGAGGACACACCCCATCCCAAAGCTACCAGCAGACATCACACACTCCTGGGATCACGGCAAACCCTAGCATGTGAACTGGTGGAGGAAAAGTCAATACCAACCGGAATCCGGATCCTCCAGGCGCTCCTTCAGGGAGGAAGTGACTGACTCGGAGGGGGGCATGCACAGCGAGAGGCAGGGGCATGACACAGAAGGACCTGGAGCTGAGGGACCCAGGCAGGACCCAGGCAGGGCCCAGGCGGGAAGAGGACTGCATGGACCATGTCTGGACAGAGCCTCGGTGGGTAGGGGCCTTCCTCTGCCTCCTCTCCTATCATGAGTGTCCCCACCGTCTCCTGTGCAAGGGGGTGGGAACGGCCCACAGCCACCTCCGCAGAGGAGAAGGAGGCTAGTTTGGAGATGTGACTAGGCTCTCTCTGGTGGGAGAAGGCAGGGCCAAGTGTTAACTACACACACATACACTCACTGCCCACCACCATCCAACCGAGTCCAGCACAGTGGCCTTGTAGAACAGAGTAGAATTGCTCCTTAGGGGGTCTCAGATTGCAGATCTTGATGGAGCAGACAGCCTCATCTTTGTCCTATGGAGCGGCTGGTGGGTTTGAACTGCCAATCTTGTGGTTCATAGCCCAGTACTTAACCCACTGTGCCACCAGTGTTCCTTAACCACACAAAAATCAACTGCCACTGAGTTGACCCCCAACTCCTGGAGACAGAGTAGGACTGTGCTCCATAGGGTCTCCAGTGGTGGATTTGGGGGAAGTACATCTCCAGATCTTTCTCCCTACGTTCCTTCGGTGAGTCGTCGAGCAAGTTTGCTGAAAGCATCAACAGGGCTCCTTGTGTGGCTGGAGTAACCATGACGACCACAGAGAGGAACCTGCCACTTGCCCACAATGGGCAGCTCTCACCCTATCTACAACTCCTGCCCCCACCTGATCCCACCTGCCCAGGCCTTCCCCCAATAGGATGTCCACACCAGGTCATTCTGTGTCCAGTAGCTCTTTTCTGAATAGAGCACAACAAATGCAGAGGAGAGGAGACCCGCCAGGAGAAAGACAAGCAGGGCCTCTGAGGTCACACAAGGAAGGAAGAAGTGCCAAGTGGCCAGGTAGGCGGAGCCCTCACGGGGCTGGGGACAGGCTGCCATGGCCGGCCGGTCAGTGCAGAGGATGTGAAGTATCCCTTCAGCCATGAGGGGCCTCGGGTTAGGGGCGTCAGAGGTGTGAAGACAGATGCATGCTAGCTAGGGACCCCTGGGGCCTGGGGTGAAGCGCAGCCCCCAGGGAGCATGTAGAGGCTGGAGCTGCACCAGTAGATGCCGGACCAGGGGCTGGGGTGAGGTTGCGAGTCCAGGCGCCCACACACTGGCCTCTGAGTGAGAGAAGCCATCGTCCAGGGCCACTAGAGGCAGGGCGATAAGACAGGAGGAAGTGGAGCCTCGAAAGCCCAGCTGTGTTTCAGCAGTGTGGCATTTCCATGGCTGGAAGGGGAGCACAGAACACCACACTCCATCCAGGAAAGGGACCCAACTCCCAAGGTGTCCCTTCCATGGAGCAGAAGCAGCCACTGGCTTCCCATAGAATACCCCCAAACCTACTGTTCTGGAGTCAATTGTGATTCAGAGTGAGGACATGTAGGGTGTCTGAGACTGCCAGTCTGTGCGATGTAGACAGCCTCATCTTTCTCCCTCAGAGCAGCTGGTGGGTTTGAACTCCCAACCCTGTGGTTAGCAGACCAATGCTGAACCCACAGCGCCATCCATAAATTGAGTCAAACAAGTCTGACTGCTCTGGGTCCCAACACTGACCAGAAATATACCCCACCTGTCTCCTACATGGCTCTCCTGGCTTTTGAGACTCATTATGTAAGTATAGCTCCCAGGACTGGCTCAGGCTCAGAGGTTACGACTAAGCCATGACCAGGTTGGAACCAGGAACAGCAGCCCCATGGCCCCCAACAGCAGCAGGGGGGGTGAATATTCCATGTGGTCCAGCATCCACTGTACCTACCTGCCCACGAGGGGCAGGCACACCAGAGTCCCCCATCCCCGGTGTCTGATTTCCATTCTGGGGTGGCCTTCTGTAGCATGACACCCACCCCAGGCTGTGCTTCTTGATCCTTGGATATCAGCCCCAAATCCTAGAAGTAACCAGAACACTGCCCACTGGAGAGTTGAAATAACTCTCACTGGGGGCTGTGGGGACTGGAAGGCAGGAATGACTCAGCTCGCATCCGAGTCTCGCTGTGGTGTGATGGGCGTGAAGGAGCTCAGCCAAAGGGGCAAGAGCAGGTGTGGTGCACGGCCCCAAGTGCCATGCAGAGCCCAGCCAGGCTGAGCCGCAAGCAGGCAGCGCCCGGGCGGCACTTACCAAGGACCCACGCTTGTACTGACTATACCAGGTAGAGGGCTGCTCTTTGGGCCAGCGGGCCATTTTACTCTGCAAGATAGGAGACGGGCGGAGTTCAAGTGTCAACCGCCAAGAAGAGTGGGGTGTCTTACCAGTTTACCACGCTTGAATTCACTGAACCAGGAACCCGGGTTCTCTTTGGGCCAAGAAGTGATTCTGGCCTAAACATTGGGGGCGGGGGGGCAGGCAGAGAGGGAAAGAGACAGAGAAAAAGGAAAGGGTTAATGTTCCTGCCTTCAGCACTCCCTTCTCCTGTGCTCCACCTGCCTCCACCATTGAGGGGGAGGATGTGGAAGGACAGATAGATGAAGGCAGTTCCACCGGTGAGGACCTGAGGACCGTGAGGATGGAGATCCAGGGAGCAGGAGCTGGGTGGGGCAAGGCACTCAAGGCTTCAGCCTCCAGCAGGATCCCAAACTGCTCTCTCGGTTTCTGGTTCTCAGCCCCATTCTATCACAGAGCCCATCACAGAGCTGGGCGTTCAGGGCTAGCTCAGAAATGACTGTCGAGCGAGTGAGTGCAGGAAAGAGGGACTTCTTAAAGGCCGTGGTGATGGTGGGAAGAGCCACCCAGGGATTGTGGTGGGCAGGGCCAGGGCCAGGGCCCTGGGCTGCTGCGGAGATGCAGGAACACTGTGTGTGCACATGGGAGTGTACGAGTGTGAGCAAGTATGAGAGCATGTGTGTGTACACTGTGTGAGTGAGGGTACATGTGTGATTGTGTACTTGTGTGTGTTGAGAAAATGCATCTATTAGCGAGTGAGAGCTGTGTGTACATATGCGGTTATATGTGTCAGTGTGAGTGTTGAATGACTATATGTGTGTGCACATGCATGGCTGTGTCATGCACATGTGAGTACTGAGTGGTGTGTGTATGTGTGTGTTAAATGTATGCATGTGAGTGTGTGTGGGCATGGACTTGCATGATTGTGTGAGTGCATGTGCAGGGTGGGTATGTTACATGACTGTGCAAGCATGTCTGTGAGTGTGAGAGCTGTCAATGTATGTTCATGTGTGTGTGAGCATGTGTGTGAGACCTGTTATGTGTGTGCACAAACATGTGTATGAGCATGTGTGAGTGTGAGCCTGCATGTGGTGTTACATGTGTGTGTGTGAGCATGTGTGAGTTATGTGTGAGCCTACATGTGGTGTTACAAGTGTGTGTGAGTTGTGAGTGTGAGCCTGTGTGTGGTGTTACATGTGAGTGTGAGCATGTGATTGTGAGTTGTGTGAACCTGCGTGTGGAGTTACACGTGTATGTGTGTGTGTGTGAGCATGGGTATAAGTTTAAGAGCTGTGTAAGTGTATGTACATGAATGCATGTGGGTGTGAATGAGCTCTTGTGTGTGGTGGTGGGCTGTGGTCTTCAGGGCTGAGGACAGGAAGCAGGGGGTCCTCCTGACAAGCCACCAGCAGCCCCTATAGGCCAGGGAACAAGAGTTCCTCTCTGACTTTTGGTAGGGGGCCTTTTCTGTGTGGGGGTGGGGGTGATTTCTGCAGAGGCTGAGCCCAGACAGTGCAGCACAGATGAGCCGTGGATGGACAAATGATGGGGGGATGGAGAGTGCGCAGGTGACTGGCTGAGTGGGTGGGCAAGCGATAGATTGGTGGGTACCTGTGTAAGTGAGTGAGTGGGCAGACAGGCTGGTGGTCCCTTTAGGAAGAAGGCCCCACTGCTGGCTGCCCATGGATGTACCTGGGCAGGTGCAGAGAGGTGAAAGACCCACAGGGCCACTGTCCCCACCATCACCAACCCAGGTCCACAAGGCCCCACCTGAATCCTCCTCTACAAAAGCAAGTCAAGAACCCTTGTCCGAGGCTCCCAGGCCTCCTCCTTCACGCTGGCTATGAGTTAGCCGAGGGGACCTGTCAGAGGACAGGGAAGGGGCAGTCTGCCTTCATCCAGCCTGTGACTCTGCCATCTGTCAACACTGTCCCAAGCCTGCCCACAGACAGAGCCAAGCCTGGGTGGGTAGAGATGGGTCTACGGTGTGGCTGTGTCATGCCTGTGGGCTCAAGTTCGATCCACCTCAGTGGCTCTGAGGGACACCTCATCCAGCAGTGGTGAAGGGACAGTGAGGACCATGGGGTCTCACAGTGTCTCAGAACCCTCAGTGGCCTCTGTGCTGTGGGGCCCGTGGAGAACTTCACCCTGGCCCTCGGGTAGGAGGAAGAAAATGAGAGCCCAGATGAGGGTCCCTGGGCTCTCCCTGGCCTCATTTAGCCTTTGCAAGTCTGTTCTAAGAACGCAGCTCCTTGTGGATCTGAAATCTTGAATTTGTGACTCAGGCCCAGACATCTTCCAGTCAGCATGAGAGGAGCGAACATTCAGGCTGGACACAGTGAATGCCACGGTGGACGTCTGGGTCACCTTCTCAGTCAGTGGCAGGGCCCCAACCCACCAAAGCCAGACCCTAACTCCTCGTGTGTCTCAGCCATGTGTCTAGAGACGGCAAGGCCTGAGGTGAGAGGACAGATGGGTAACATCTGGGTCTGGAGACCCTCCATCATCCGAGTCAGTATTCCGGATTCCAACACTAGCAGAACCCCCATGTGTGGGCCAGGCACCAGGCCATTTTTCCAGAAAGCGTCTCAATGAGGCACATTTTATACCTGGTTCCTGACTTCATCACCAAAGACATGATCCTGAGGAAGCCCCCCATGTCTCTCCAGACCCCTTCAGTGAGGGAAACGTCACTCTGTGAGAGATGGGTGATAGACACTCACCACACCACGGTGGTACCGGTCCTGCAGCCCTGAGGTGAGCCCCATGCCTGCCTGGCTGGGCCTCCGCTCTGCACACGAGGGCCAGCTGAACTAGGAGACTCTGGCCAGATGGTCATGACACACATCCTCCCTCATCTACCCACACAATCGGACACACACCAACAACCACACCACACAATCACTCACACACGCCCATGTACACATCTGTCTATAACCCACTCCCCCACACACAATTGCTCACACACACAACCGCTCACGCACACACAACTGCTCACGCACACACAACTGCTCACGCACACACAACTGCTCACGCACACACAACCACTCATCCCCCCAACAGCCCCCCCACACTCGCACATCTGTTGATACTCCCATTCCCACCACATACCCAGACACACAGACCCGCTAACTGTCCCCTTGCACCACCTGTCCACACACACCTGTCCTCCCAGGTGAGGTCCTAGACTCTCAGTGGATCAGGCCCTTCTCCACTGTCCACACCACACTGACTTGTGCTTGGTACCGTGCGGTTGATTCTGACTCACAGCGCCACAGGGCTGCAGGCTGCCATTCTTACCAGGCAGATCCCAAATCCCCGATCTGCCTCCCCCAGAGACCACCGCGTTTCCCGTTAGCAGCCGGGGGCACTAACAGTGGTGCTTCCAAGTCCCCTGAGCAGACCTGAGGGAGCCAGAAGCAAATCCCACAGAGTCAGGTTCTTACTCCGATGGAAGCAATGTGGCGTCCTCTAGAGGTCTCCGGGACACACTGCACTGCCCCAAAAGTCCTGCAGGGGGTGCTAGAACGACCTCAGGCGAGATCCTTCTCAGAGGACTTTACTGACCACAGGAATGGCCAGTGGACAGCCCAGCAGAGTGGGGTGTCATCGTTTCCGTCACCCCAGGCTCCACTATACCCTTTCATTGCTAAAATGTCTTCTTCCAGCAGCCTCATGACTACTTCTGGAAGAAAAATCTTCGTTAGGAAACAGACCGGCTGCTAGCTCTCATTGGAAAGCTGGCTGGTGTGACACATGGGAATCCCTGTTGTCCAGGGGACTGAGACCAGGTACTCACCCCCTCCGACTTCTTGTCAGGGAAGACACACGTGGCTCCGCCAGCTGTAAAGTTACAGTAGACTTTGAAGGAGTCCCTGGAGCACCCTTGGTTGGGGTCCACCCAGTATTCACCTGGTGGGGAGATGGGGGAGACAGGAGATCTGTGAGAGCTGGTTCCATGACAGACGCGTCCAGATGCATAGCCGTATGTTGGCTCAGCTGGAAGAATACAGGGCAGGACCACAGCACCACCTCCAGAGCTTTCTGGGGTTCATTTATTGCATTTTGCTTTTCCTGCTGGACCCAGAAAGATTTATGCCCAAGAAGAGCTGGGGGGGGGGGAGACAGGAAGCACATGGGTCCGTGGGCTGGTGAGCAGGACAGGACAGGATGGGGCACTCCCCACTTGATGGGTGAACAAAAATGCAGAGACACTCTGGAGTGAGCTCTGAAAATCCCCACCCTGGGGAGCAGTCAACTGGAACCCCCAGCCCTCCAATATTGCAGCAGAATGAAGAAATATTCAAGGCTGCCAGAATGGATAGGAGACACAAACACGGTTTGATTTTTCAGTGTGTCGCCAGACTTGATTTAGACATGGTGAAGATGAGCTCTTCTAGGGTACCCCAGGCTCTTTTTTCTCAAGTGCAACATCTACTACCATACGGACATGGATACTGATCGTAACAACAGTAATTTGTTGGTTGCCATCATGAATTCAATTCAAGTCAATTCCGACTCATGTGCAGAGTACAACTGTGATTTCAGATCAGGTCTGTCTGCCAAGGTGCCTCTGCGTGGGTTCAAACCACCAACCTTTGAGCTGGTAGGCAGGTGCTTAATCGTTTGTGTCCCCTCAAGACTTAGTTTTGTTTATTATTGTTGCTAAGTGCCTTTGAGGCGGTTCAGACTCATGGTGACCCTGTGTAGAGTTCCTGAGAAGCGGCTGGTGGGTTTGAACCACCGATCTTGTGGTCCACTCATTACCCTGCAGCGCCACACCAGGACTCTGCTTATAGATAGTAATACGGACAGCTACAGCAATGGGAATAAGCACACTAGCCGTACCAGCATTCCACACCACACCAGTGTCTCCTGCATGTCTCATTTGACACATGTGATCTAACAGGTGGACACTCCCATTCCCATTCTAGAGATTAAGACCCAGGGGCTCAGGGTGAGACAGGGTACCCTGCTAGAAATGCCTCAGATGGGATGAGAACCCAGGCCGTCCAACTTCATGCCTCAACCTTTTAAACAGCAGACTTCAGCAAGCAGCTCATGTGACTGGGAGACGAGCCCATAGAGTAAAGGGGAAAACCCTTCAGCACCACACTCCACAAATGGGGAAGCTGAGGCTGAGGCAATTGCTCAGACTGCTTGACCCCAAGTCCTGTGTCCTCCCACCAAGGTTCAGCTGCACTTTCCTCACCTGGACCTGGAGCCTGGGGCACCCAGAAGGGAACTGGTCCCTATACCCACAGACCCTGCTCCACATGCAGGCTCTGTCCCCATCTGTCAGGCCCTGTTTCCACGCAGGCCCCAATTAACCAGACCCCATCCCATGCACTCAGGCCCCTTCCTCATCTGGAGGGCTCCTACATTGCCAAGCCAAGACCTAGACCCTTTCCCACAACCCAGATCCCCAGGATCCCAAGGTCTCACCCCAGGGTCCCAAATCCAACCCCGACATCCAAGCTCTGCTCCCACACCTGGGACCCACCCCAGCAGGCTCAGCCCTGGTCCCGTCCCACAACCCAGACCCTGCCCCACACTCAAATCCCACCCCATCGCCCAGACCACGCCCCACACCAAAGCCCCGCCCCACAACCCAGACCACGCCCCACGCCAGGCCCCGCCCTAGCAGGCTCAGCCCTGGCCTGGCCCCTACCGTCGGGGAAGTCAGGGTGGCAGAGCTGCAGGTCCTTGCAGGTGCGGGCGGGGTTCTCCTGGGTGCCCAATGGTCGCTTCATCTGCTCAATCTCCAGCTTCAGGGAGTTGAGTGAACCGAAGATCTCCTCCATCCCGTCAGCGTAGTCCATGTAGTTCTCGCCGTTCCCTTCGTCCAGCAGCTGGCTGGCATCGATGTTCCGCCGCATTCTGGAAGCCTGGATTGGCAGGGGCTGGATGACCTCGCCCGGGGGACCCTGGAGGGTGAGATGGATGATGGGTGGGCAGTCGGGGAGGCTCTTCTTCGGCAGCCAGTCTGCGAGGCACCTTTTCTCCCCTTTTCCTGCCCTGGGGTGAACCCCCAAGATTCAGGGTGAGGTCTGGTGATTCACAGCCAAAGGGGGCTGGTGGGGGAATACCCGAATTGTAATCACATTCTAGTGCACACCTGAGCTATCTTACACCTGAGAACATCCCAACACTCACCACACACAACACACGGCACACATATACCACATAGTCACACTGTGCACACAGCACGGTGTACACACACACCACAGTCACACCACACACAGCACACACATACCACACAGTCACACCATACACACAGCACACTGCACACACACACTACAGTCATATCACACACAACACACGGCACACACATACCACACGGTCACACCGTACACACAACATGCTGCACACACACATACCAGTCACACTGTACACACAACAAAATCACACCACACATCCAAAACATGGCACACACATACCACACAGTCACACCGTACACACAGCACACTGCACACACACACCACAGTCATACCACACACAACACATGGCACACACATACCACACGGTCACACCGTACACACAACATGCTGCACGCACACACCAGTCACACTGTACACACAACACACTGTACACACACAACACAGTCACACCACATGCCCCCCAAAACGGCACATACATACCATACAGTCACACCGTACACACAGCACACTGCACACACACACTACAGCCATACCACACACAACACACAACACACATATACCACAGTCACACCGTACACACAACACACTGTACATATACCACACAGTCACACTGCACACACACACACACACACAGATGTACACAACATAATACACACACATATGAAACACTCATACCCGCATGTAAACCTGCACGTTCATGCAGGTACACTCACACCACACACACACACACGACAGAGCATACTCACACACATGCACACTGCACTCACATGTAATCACAGCACATGCAGCACACGAGTGTACACATACATACCATACTCTCACAGGTACATGTACACACAGCACACTTGTACACGTGCTCTCATACAAGTACACATACACTGTAAACTCAAACACACGGTACACACACATACGTACATTCTCAGCTCCAAGACCACTTACCGGCAGGCCAGGGGGCCCTGGCTGTCCTGCCTCACCCTTGGGCCCAGTGGGACCCTGGAGGAAAGAAGAGAGAACAAGTCCCCTTGAGCTCTAGACTGGCCTCAGGTGACACAGGGCCAAGAAGGGCAGAGGGACAGGTTTACAAGGGGTGGACACCGGGCCTCCAGGCAGGCAGTCCCCTGGATGGGTCCTTTTCAGGCAGTGGGCAGACAGCCCATGCTCGGCTATGAAGTCTGTACTGGGGAGAGAACCCGAGGGATGGGTCACAGGAGGACACCCTCTCCCCATCTCCCATGGAATCCAGGATGCAGCCACTTACTGAGGAGCCTTTGGTGCCTTTGGGACCAGGAGGACCCTGTGAGTGTGGAAGGTAGAGTGTCAGGAGCTGGCAGTGCCCTCGCCAGCCTGCCCTCTGCATGCAGGTGCCAGACAGGGAGAGGGAGCACTGGGCACCCACATCTTCCCTGCCAGTGGTGCTGAGTTAGAAGTAAAGGGGCACCCTGGATTCAGGGCCCAGACATAACCCCTCTGGGAGGGCCTAGAGGGCCATGGGAATCTCAAGTCCTGGGTTTGGCAGTAATGGCTGGGGGCCCGAGCTGAGGGGGGCCTGCCCTCACCTCCTCCCTAGGCCTGACTGCTGAGCGTGGAGCAGTCATGCCCTGATGGGGGGAGAGTTGGAGCACCCCACTCTCCCTAGACTTCTGTAAATGCCTATGAACGATTATCTTAACATCTAAGATTTTCCTAAAAGACAGAGACTCCCCGTCTTTTGTACCCCACAAACCACACGCCCTTGCTGTCATGAATCAGAACCCCAACTTTGGGTTAATCATGAGTGAATCTACCCTAGGTGCCCCAATGATGGCTAATCCCTGTAACTTCCTGTCACATCCTATCGTGCAAAAAGACTGGGGCCCCTCCCAGATACGCAGATACACACCGGTAAGCCAGGGGGTCCTGGAGGGCCAAGCGGGCCAGAAGGACCGGTAATACCCTAGAAAGGAGAAGACACAGGGTTAGTGTCACGTGATGAAGGGGTGATAGGAATTGCACACTCCGTCCACCTGACCAATTCCCTCCAGGGCCAACGGCTCCAGCACTAGCGACTGTCACCTGTCCTTGTGGGGCCTGTGCCAGCCTGAAGTCCTGCCACAAAGCTGTCCCCCGCCCGGCTGGAGGAACTCTCCAACATCTACAGGACCATTGGAGATGACTTGGAGATATGACGTCACTGTTGCCATTGTAATTGGACAAACTGAGCTTATACTACCTCGACCCCCTCCTCTCCCCCGCTGGTGTGTCCTCTGTCCCTCGGCTTTTTTCAAGGTGCTGAGCTTTCCCTGTCCCCAAACCCTTGCCGACCCCTGTCCTCAGCAGTTTCTAAACATGCGTCAGCAGTCTGGTCACTACCAGAATCTGCCTGCACACTGGGCCCCTCATGGATAGCCAAGCCAAGCCTAGAGGGTTCAGATCGAAGATGGCGTGTGTTTCCCACGCGGCACTGAGCATGCCAAAGCCCCCACACAGCCTGCACGCCCATCACTGACTCCCACCTTAGTTCCACATCCAACACTGAGTCCTTCATCAAACCTCGTCTAGCACCGAGTCCCACCTTAACTCTTGACCCTGTGTCCAGCTCTGAGACCCACCTGGACCCTGCCTCTAGCACTGGCTTTCCCTAAGGATCCCAGCTACAAGCAAGGACAGAGGTCGAACAGACACCAAACTTCATGTCGGTTGAAAGTGCTCTCCTTCTCGAATGGTATTTGGGTTTTTGATCACTTAAAACGTTCATAGATTCACAGGACCATATCTTCAAAAGAAGCTCTCACATACCTGTTCTCCCTTGGGGCCGGATGAGCCCTGAGGGCCAGGGAGACCACGGTCACCCTTCTCCCCCTGTTCACCCGGAGGTCCAATGAGTCCGATCAGGCCTGGGTGACCCTACAGATGACAAAGGTGAAAGGGAACAGTGATGGCAATGTCTCAAATCCAGTCACCAATAAACCCAACCCATTCAATAGTCAAGTCAGTTCTGGCTCATGGTGGTCCATGTGTCACCCAGAAGAGTTGCTCCAGAGACTTTTCTTGGAGAGTGGTCTGCCTCCATGGAAACCCTAGGAACAGACCTACTTGGTCCTAGAGGCTTGCTCTGAGTTGCAGTGGTCTTTACTGAAGGGGGACCTGGTGATGCAGTGGTAAAAGCACTTAGCTATGAACCAAAAGGTTGGTATTTCCAACCGGGTGGTTTGAACCCACCAGCCACTCTGCCAGCCAAGGACAGGGCAGCCTGCTTGTATCGAGAGTCACAGCCTCAGAAACCCGGCCGGGTCGCTCGACTCTGTCCTATGAAGTCTTCAGCACTTAGAATCCACTTAATGGTAATGAAGTTTTGGTTTGGGGGGAGAATCTTTTGGAAGTAGATCATCCAGCCATCCTTCCATGGTGCTTCTGGGTGGATTCAAACTGCCAACCATTAGGATCATTCTGTGTTTGAGTGCCGTCGAGTCGGTTCTGACCCATGGTGGCCCTGTATAGGGTTTTCAAGGAGCGACTGATGAGCTTGAACTGCCGACCTTGTGCTTCAAAGGACTTTGCAGTCCAGTGCATTAACTCACAGCACCACACCAATCAGATGCAAACTGTTTGCTCCGCCCAAGGACTTTACGTTTCACCATAGGAGCCAATTAGAAATGACAATCATGAGTCACCACAGGCCATTGGTCAGCTCACTGAGGCAATGAGACAGCAGGCATGACTTGCCCGTAGGTGGTTAAAACTATACCTACTGAAACAGGAAGGGGGGCAGACACAGAAACACAGAAAATGATCAAAGGAAACCTCATTTCCATGGTGAGTGCGTATGTCCCATTATAAGAATCAAAAACAACATCCATGTACGGCCATGGAGAGAAAGTTGCAGAGAACTATAGATACAAGGAGCTCCAGTGGCACTGTGAGTTAAGCGCTGGGATGCTAACAATAAGGCCAGCAGTTCAAACCCACCAGCCGCTCTGCAGGAAGACGATGAGGCTGTCTGCTCCCATAAAGATTTACAGTCTTGGAAAACCTCTATAGAGTATCTGTGAATCAGAATCAACTCGAAGCCACGGGTTACTAGAGATGCAAGGATTCATTTTTCATGTTTGTTTGTTTTAAAGGCTATCCTCTACAATTGCCTATATATGCTTGTTTGTTTAATATGAGCCAATAGAAAACTCTGGAAGAATTCTTCTAGTTTACTCGGGGGGCTGGGTGGGATAGTGGAAATGGAAAATGCAAAGTTGTTTGTTGCTTCTTTATGTACAAATTTAACTGATGGTTTGGTTTGTGAGGAGGTTTGACATTTCTAAGTAATCCAATGTGAGAGGAAAATAATCATCACCGACATTTTTAAGAAATGGGGGAGATCTGCCCCTGCCATAAGCACCCCGTACACGTCCTTCAGGAAGCAGATGCTCCTTGGATCCTGACGCCTTGGCCTGAGCTGTTTTTGGCAGGATGTGAAATGTTCTACGTGGATTCCATGCGGGCCTCATGAATCTTCAGAAGGCTCCCTGGCTGAGCCTCAAAATCAATCTGGATATGTCTCCTAGTTTTGCCCTCTTAGAATGCCCATGACAAATGTGGGGGACAAGTTACTATCTGGCTGAACTGGAAACCAAGGCTGTTGTGGGTCCAGTTAGTACCTCATGGGCACCTGTAGGGTCTTCTTACCTTCTCACCTTTGGGACCTGAGTCTCCTTTGAGGCCGGGGAGTCCAGGGGGGCCCTGCAGGAGATGGCAGAGGGGTCATCCTCCTCATCCCGGGGTTCCTAGGATGCACACCACCTTCTCCCACCACTGCCGTGACTTACCATGGGTCCAGGGGGACCATCTGGGCCTGGGGATCCGGGTAGACCTTGTTCACCCTGAAACACAGTCGGCCTTCCATGTGAGCCACATCCGACCTGGACCCATACCCAATCCTTTCCCTCACAGACCCCCTGCCCCACCCAAGCAGCACCACTCACCACAGGCCCTGGGATCCCTCGCAGCCCATCGGGCCCAGGCTTCCCTGGTGCCCCCTGGGGGCCGATGGGGCCAGTCTTCCCAGGAGGGCCTTCCAAACCAGCTTCTCCCTAGAGTGGAAAGAGGACAGGGAGGTGGCATTAAAGGGCCTAGGGTATCTGTCACATCAGCCTACTGCTCCCAAACTCCAGGTGTCTTTGAGGGAACCCTGAGTCCCCCAGGCATGCAGGGGCACCCTGAATTCTCCACCCTCCTTGAGGAAGCTCTGAGGGCCAATTCCCACCCCCCTCAGTTCCTCAACCATCTGGACACTCAGTATCCCAATGGTCATGGCAACCTCCACCACAGATGGTGGACATGGTGGTCACAGCAGCGTGGCCACCACCCCGGTGGACACGGACACTGGGCCTGGGCCTGTTCAATTCCTGCTGGGCTGAATCCACAGCACCGCCCCACAGACCCAGGGCCCTGGGTTCCTTCTCTCTCCCAGCCCTGGAGCCTCCCTCTGTGCAGATCCTCCCCTTGCAGGATGTCCGGCTGGGAAGCACCTCCTTACCTTGGCTCCTTTCTCCCCCTGTCTGCCTTCAGGCCCTGCAGGACCGGGGGGACCCTGGAACAAACAAGAGAGCCCCACATGATGAGCTGGCTTTCAGACACACCTGGTGAGCTCAGTGTCTGACAAGGGAGGGTGGGAGAGTGGGGTCCTCATGACTCCAGAGTCAAATCAGGTGCCTGGGCCATTTGGGCAACTTTCCTTAACCCTGAACCTGGGGCACTTGTCCAAGTCCATGCCAGGCAATGTAGCCTATCAGAACCCACTAAAAGGCTGCAGTGGTCAGCCTGTGGGGCAACACCTGTTCAGAAAGCCCTGCAGTGGGGAAAGGGTCCTGCTCGGCGGGTGCATCTCCCCATCCCCCCACCCCCACCCCAGGACATCATGAAAGAAGCCAATCCAATGTCATGGAGGGAGACAGTGTATAAGATAGGCTCACACTCAGCATGTTCCTGTGAGTGCTGTCGAGAGCCCGTGGGGTCCACACACGGGGTTGGGGAGGAGGGCACTCCCAGGCAATGATGTGCTTATACTTACCCTTTTTCCTGGAGGCCCTGATGGACCTGGCTCACCAGTGGGACCTGGGGATCCCTGGCATTGGAGAAAGAATACAGGATAGTTAGAATCCGAGCTGTGTGCAGACCTTTGCTGGTATGAGTGTACTGCATTTCCTCACATAACACACCCATAGAACCAGATCATGTGTATATAACATTCACAGCTCACATAGGAAACTATCACATGTGGTGATGAGGGGGCACGATGTGCATACAAATGGAATATGCATGTTATTTGCATAAAAGTGCATATATTTTTCTTCTAGAAGAGGGTCCACAGCTCCCAACAGACTCTCAGAAGCAATTTATGACCCCCAGCTTGGTTAAGAATCAATACTTTGAAAAATGTGAAACAAAACTCAAAATCATGAAAAAAAAAAAAAAGACTAGGCTTATTGGTCAGAGAGAAACTGGTAGAACCCCAAAAACTATGGTCCTTAGCCCCCGTCAGGTCTGGAACCAGCTGCCCCCCCATGGCTCAGTTTTCAGTCAAACAACAGACAGGTCTCTAAGGGGATCAATAACACTCGGGGGTGCGCACCCCTTGGAACCAGGGACTGTGGGAGATGAAGTGGACAGCACCATCCCGAGGACCAAGTGCAGAAAGGTTGGGAAAGGAGGAGGCTGGGAAACAGGAAAGCCAGGGAGGATGTGGCCTGAGTGATGTTACCTTCCGGGGACTGCAGTCAATAGTATGAAACAATGAAACTTCACCCAATTCACAATTAAAAGTGTCCATTAAATTTTTAAATAAAAAGAATCAATGTTATCAGGCAGCTGAGCATGTGTCTTTCTCAGAAATGAACACCGTATGCCATCAAGTCCGAGAGCACATGCTGCCGTCACCCACCGAGCACCTGCCCCAGAATGCCCAGGTAGCCCCCATCCTGACAGACCCACCGTTTGCCCCGGTTCACCGTCATCTCCTTTGTCCCCAGGTGGACCATCTTGACCCTGTGGAAACAAGACCAGACTCCTTTCTGCCACCTGAATGCACACACCAATAGCTAACACAGGGCCTATCCCTTCCCCAAACCCAAACGTATCTGGATCCCAGTGTGCTCAGAGGGGATAGTGTTTAATCCCCAAATTATCAACACCTCTGGGGAGACTGCTGTGGCCCCAAGACGCACTTGTGACTCACCAAAGAGAAGGACCAGAAAGAAACCTACACGGGGCTGGCAAAGGGGCAGGTCTTGCTCTGAGATACATACCGCGGGGCCCGGCTCTCCGGGGGGACCAGGATCTCCAGGGAAGCCCACGGGTCCCTGGAAAGGAGAGAAAGGGGTCACACAAGGCCAGGAGCAATCTGATCAAGAAGACAGCTACTCTGTCCCATCTAGCTTCTAGAATGTTCTAACCATCACCTCCAGAGAAGGTCCCTGCCTGGACAAGACCTCTCCTCACACTCACAGGAAGACTGACAGACTGGTAAGCTGGGGATCACTGTTGCTTTCCAGGGACCTGCCCACATCCACTTTTCTAGGAGCCCCAGTCTAAGGCCAGACCCTTGTGAGCACAGAGCCCTTCCTAATGCAGACCAGGGTGGGCCAGAGGAGGGGCGGCTGTGGGGGACTGGTGGTCTTCACGTGGCCCATCTCAGATACATCCTCAAAGATGAGGCATTCTCCAAGAAAGGACTCTCTCCAGCCACCTTCTCTGACCACATCTCCTCTTTCGTGTCTGATAGTTTTGGTTCAATAGCTGGTTTGGAAAGTTCTAGATGTTAGGAAAGTTATTCTGAGACAGGTAGTGGCCACAGATCTTTCTCAGTGCTCAACTTCTCAGGCTGACCAAGGGTGCAGGGCCCAGCACCTGGATTCATGGGGCCACTCACCGGGCTGCCCTTGGGGCCGTCATCTCCGGGAGGGCCTTTGGGTCCAGGGGGTCCAGCAGCACCAGAAGGACCCGACTCGCCCTTCTCCCCTCTCTCCCCTTTGGGGCCCTGGAGGGAAGAAGTATCCGTGTTACGCAAAGCAGACCTCATAGTGGCCAAGGGGTGCCTCCCCCACTTCGCACACGACATCCACTTAGGCTGGTGGGTACTGGCCAGGACTGACCGCTGCTCCATCCCCCCATGGTCCTTAGCAGTGACCTCTGAGGGTTTGCCTCCGTTTGCCCCCACAAGGCTGGGCTGGTGTTCTGGGCACCGAAGGCCAGGACTCAGCTTGTGCAGAGGAGGGTCTCAGCCCTGGATTCAAACAGGCTGCAGGACCCCCACCTAAACCCAAGACCTGTGGTTTGGGGGCAGAAAGAGAAGCCAGAGACCAAGAGGCCTTAGTCCCCCAGTCTGGGAACCTCCCTCAGAATGGGCATCTGTCTGACCAACTAGCTGGTTGGTGGAGGGAGGAGCATCCACCCCCACCCCTAGCCACCTTCCCCCGGTAAGTGGACAAAGGCAGGAAACAGGGCTGGTCACCAGAGTGCAGGACACGAGATGCCACTGCTGTGTGTGAAAGCACAGGGTGGAGGGGCGTCCAGTGTGGCCATTGACCTTGAACAATGTCTGGTCTTTAGGGTGACAAGGGTGGTCATAGCCCCCTCATTTATGACAACCCCTGAAAGGGACTTGAACCCCTGAGGGCAGAATAACTGCCAGTCACGGGTCCTGCTATGAAATGCTAAGGGTTGTGTGCACACATATATACATATGCACACATATATACGCATGGGCACATGCATACGTGCACACACATGTGCACACTGCATACACACACATGCAGCCATGCACGTGCACACACATAGGCACAGACACACGCCCTCCTTCCCATCACATTTACTCTTTCCCTGTTTTTACACCAATTCCATCAGCTCAATAAAGAAGGGTTATGACCCCATTACACAGATGAGAAAGCTGAGGCAGAATTAGGACTTCTGACCCAGCACCCTATCCACTCTTCTGCTCGGTCACTTCCTGCCCCTCCCCCAAAGCCCACTCACCGGGGGGCCCCCTTCTCCCGGAAGGCCAGGTTCACCAGCTTCACCAGGCTCGCCCTACAAAGAAAACACACACAGTCTTGAGTTTGGTGGGAGCCACAGCACCAGTATCAAGCACTGACCATACCCCCAAGACCCAGGATCCGTGAGACAGCCATTCTCAAAGAACCTCCAGGATGAGGGGTGGGAAGGGGTCCTCAGATTGGTCAGTGCCTGAAGAGGTGACAGGCGAGGGTGCAGGGGAGTGGAGCTCTGAGGGACAGAGAGGAGAAGCTTGGTGACCAGTAGGACCATCAATGCAGAGGAAGAGGGAAAGCCCAGCACAGCCGCCAGGGACACACAGGGACAGGTGGAAGGGAAGGGACATGTGCAGGGGCAGGGGTGCCACCAAAACAGGGACCCCAAGAGAAGATGCTTCTAGCAGTATAAAAGTGAAAAATCTTGTGCTTATCCTACAGCGCCACACCAGGACCCAGGAGTTTATGGTCTTAGCACGGCTGCTTCGCTTTAATTTTCTCATCATAAAAATGAGCAGTGACGGCAGAGTTCTTTCAACTTAATGGCCTGAAGTCAGAAAGAAATCTCTGGAAACAGCGTTCAGGGAACGGGCGCATACTCACTTATTTCCTTTTATCCAAGAGAGACGGAGAGGCATGCGTTTAAAGCAGTGAGGGTCAGTGAGCACAAAGTGCAGTCAGACACTGTGACCAAGATGCTCACCACATGCACATGTGCACACACGCACACGCGCACACATACACACACACATATGAGCACACGCGCACACACCCGCACGCGCGTGCATACACACATGACCTAAAAGTCACTAGATCACAAGGGCTGGGCTGGAATGCAAACTGCAAAAGTAGCAATTGCATCATCATCGGGAACAGGTTCTAGCAGCACTCAGTCCTGGGGCAGGAACATCGTTCGGAAACGCCGCCACAAGTTGTCACGGATCAGCACGTCAGGGCAACCACTCTCACCTTGAGGAACTCAACAGGAATGGCCCAGCCACACACCTGTGCACACCCAGGCCCAGAAACACAATTGCACACACCTAGGCCCAGCCACACACCTGTATACGTGTGCACACCCAGGCCCAGCAACACACTGGTGTACACCCAGGCCCAGCCACACACCTGTACACCTGTGCACATGCAGTTCCATGTACGCACACACCCATGTTCTCCTCCCCAAGTCACAGAGCGGCCACTCTAACCAGTAAGGAGGCATCACCTTCTCCCCTACTGCACCGGGGTTCCCGATTCCACCTGGAGGGCCTTGTGGTCCATCAGCACCTGGAGATCCGGAGGGTCCTCGGGGACCTGGGGGACCTGGAGGGCCCTAGAAAAGGGAGTGACCATTGAGCACAGAGGAAATGCAAGGTTCCCCCAAACAGAAACCAGGTGTCCCACTTACCATCTGGCCCACGTCTCCAGTCTCACCCTTCTCCCCTGGAGGTCCCGGCAAACCCTGGGCAGAAAAGGAAGTGGTCAGAGATGGCACAGACATGCTGGCCCCTCAAACATGCAGACGCTTTGTTCTTTCACCAATGCGAGATGGAGAACCACGTGCCAGCAAAACGTGAAACCTCCACCTCATGAGGATGCTCAGAACCAAGCCCGAGAAAGTGAGTCAAGAAACATCTGTGGGCTCAGGTGCTTACTCCCATGTTCCATCAAACAAGTCAACCTGAGCCAATAGCAGGAAGATGTCTGCCATGCACCACCACAGCTAAGAAACCATGTTTCCAAAAATAAATAAAAAGTCATGTGTTCAAAGGCTACTCAAAGGCATTCAACGGGATTCATCATGTCACAGGAACTAGGCAATGCTGAGAACAGAACTTTCCCTGCATCTAGCATGATTCAGATGTGACAAAAAACATATAAAATGACCTATGTGCACAAACCCACCCACTGGCAAAGAGTCGATTCTGACGCATAGCAACCCTACAGAAAAACCCTACAGAACAGAGGAGAACTGCCCCATGGGGTTTTCGAGGCTGTAGTATTTCTGGAAGCAGACTGTCTCATCCTTCTCCCTCAGAGCAGCTGGTGGGTTTCAACACGTGACCTTACGGTTAGCAACCTAGTACCTAACCGTCTACACTGCCAGGGCCCACACGTCTTTTCATGTCATTGTTCTTAAGTGCCGTGGAGTTGGTTCGGACTCACAGCAATCTTGCATGGTGTTTCTGGGGCTTTACATCTTCACAGAGGCAGAAAGCCTCCTCTTTCTCCTGATAGATGTTCACACATGCTTCTAGAAGGTCTTGGAAGGAAATGGCCCCCAATATTGACAGGCAAGTTTTCTAGCTGGGCAGGATTTCCCCGATCTTACATGGGCTTGGGAATAAACATCCTGAGTTAGAAACAGCTATGGGGCGGGGGCGTATCTGGGAATTCAGATCTGCCATACTTGCAGCTCCATGGGGGCGCTGCCTGGAGGGTCTCTGCAGCCCTGTCTAGCTTCCAGTCCTTGATGGACAAGCAAGAGGGAAGGGAACACAGAAAGACACAGGACCACATACAGCTGACCCGGCTACCTTACCTGCAGCCCCACGGGCCCAGGGGGACCTGGGAAACCTCGTGGGCCCTCGTCACCCTTCTGACCAAAAAGGCCCTGCTGGCCCCGAGGCCCCGGCTCGCCGTCCGCCCCCTGCAGGAAAATCATTGAGTCCAAGATCAGCCCTACATGTTGCCATGTCTGCTCACAGCGAGATTCTTCCTGAGAGTTGTCGTCAACAGATACTTACAGAGGGACCTGGCTGTCCGATGGGGCCTTGAGGACCTGTAGGCCCAGGAGGACCCTGTGGGGACAAGACAGATGTAGCTAAGGACAAGCAGAAGGAGCTGAGTGAGGCTGGTCAGCCCAGGGGTCGTCAAAGGTCATGGCTCTCAGAGGTCAGAGGGTGGGATCGTGGGAGTCATGGCCAGTGGTGGAGGGCAATAGGAACGCAGATACTCATGTCTGGGGACAGGCAGGGACACACAGCAGCTAAAGTGTCTCAGAGTCACTGGAGAAAGCTGGCGGCCATGTGTAGGGCTTTGCCACAGGACACATGGATATTTCAGGACAGGAAGAGGGGAGAATGAGTAGGCACTTGGGCAACATGCTGCCCTCCTCAGCATGGCAGGGATGAGAGTGTGTCAGGAGAGCTGGGACCCAGTGCTTCATTGCACCGACCCCAAGGAGGCTTCTGTTCCTACTTAGCCCCGAGAGTCAGACCCACACATACATCCCTACATAACTACATCCATGCACACACAAATGTGAGTGTGTGTGCATTGCTGTTGTTAGTCCTTGTATAGGGTTTCCAAGGAGCAACTGGTGAACTTGAACCACCAACCTTGAGGTTCAAACCGACTTTGTAGTCCAGCGCATTAACCCACAGTGCCACAGCATGACTATACACACACACACACACACACACACACACACACACCCATGTGCACATACTTACCTACATGCACATATACACACACACATGTATATATACTCAAACTGCCATCAAGTTCTTTCTGACTCCTGTCAACCTTACAGCACAGAATAGACTGCGCCATAGGGTCCCAAGGCTGCACATCTTTACTGAAGCAGACTGCTACATCTTCCTTCCCTGGGGTGGCAGGTAGGTTTGAACCACTGACCTTTGGGTTAGCAGCTAAGCACTTATTCACTATGCAACCAGTGCTTCTTTATACTCATACACATACATGCATGTGCATGTAAGCATGAATATATGTATATAGTCACATAGACACATGTGTGTTCACACATACATAGGCATATCCCCCTTGCCAGCGATTATCTGTATAGGAGCAGATGGTGGGCTTGAACCAGGAGCCTTGAACTTAGAAGCCTGGTGCTTAACCCACAGTTCCACCAGGGACCCTTCATATACATCCTTATGTATATACGTAGATATGGGGTGTCGGTGGTGTGCCATCAAGCTAGCTCCAACTCATAGCCACCCTGTATGGGGTTTCCAAGGCTGAAAATGTTAATAGTAACAGAAAACCTCATCTTTTCCCCATGGAGCAGCCAGTAGATTCAAATTGCTGACCTTGCGGTTAGCAGCCCAACTTACAACCTACTACCTTACCAGGGTTTCTTATGCTTAGCTATGCCATACATAAATACATACACACATATGCACACACAGGCATGTAGTTATTGTTAAGTGCTGTTGAGTCAGTTCTGACTCATAGCAACCCTGTATAGCATTTCTGAGGAATGACTAGTGAGTTTGAATCACTGACCTTATGGTTCAAATCAATCTTGTGGTCCAGTGCTGATCCTACAGCACCTAACCAGGACTACACACACACACACACACACACACACACACACACATGCAGAGACACAGGCAGAGAATTTTAATGGGACAGGAAGCTCATTCAGTGGTGTCACATCAGTCACCATAAAGAACACCTGTCACAAGGTCACCTCTGACACCAAGTGTAGCCCACAGGCACGGAAGGGTGTCTTACCTGCTCTCCCTTGTCCCCCTTGCTCCCCTTCTGACCGGGTTCGCCAATCTCGCCCTAGGGGAAGATGGTGGAAGGTTTCCTCAGACAGCCTCACAACCATTCTTAGAGATTAAGACTCAACTCTGCAGGTGGGTCCCTAATTCTCCCAAGAAGAAATGTTTCCATAAATTAAATTTCCTTCTGTTTACTACAAGGCATAAAGGAGACAATGTCTTCGTCTGATGCTGTGCAGAATTTTGGAAGGTTTGAAAATGTGGGGGAAAGATTGAAATTAGTTTTTCAATTTTGTGTTCAAATTGGACTACCACCTTGACAGTCTTATAATGGAAACTCAATCACTGAGCTCCCAAAGACTCGACTCAGACCTTCTTCTGTGCTGTCCCAGGGATGCAAAGTGTCATCTATAAGCAGAGGTGACAACATGGGAAATGTCACCAGAGAATCCAGGCCCAAGGACTAAACGTCACTGTCTCTTTTGAAGGCAGTATAAAGTTCCAGTAACTCTCCCCCACCCTCAAACTCGAATCATTCCCAGTCTTAACGAAGGGAATCAGGACCATGCAAATGGGGCCGCTGAAACACAGACATGGCTCCCTCTGTGAGTCTGAATGTGAATGATGCCAGGGTACAGCGTGCGTCTCTCTGTCTTCTCTGACAGCAGTTGTCTGGGACACGACACCAGAACCCAAGTCTCAAAGTTACCCAAACACATGGGGGCTGTTTCTAGAGCAACCACAGAGCGGCGCTCTGCCCTGTCGCTGGCCCTCCATCTTACCCGTGTGTGTCCTCAGTCCCCTTACCTTATCCCCATCTTCTCCTGGAGGCCCCACAGGTCCTGCTGGGCCAGGGAGCCCCACAGGGCCCTGGAGACCATCTCGGCCGGCCGGGCCTTGTGGCCCTTTCTCGCCCTGGAGAGGACAGAGAAGTCTAGTCAGATGCAGCTCCATGGCATGACCCTCTGTTGTCAGTGCTTCACCCAGAGGGACAGCTGGGGAAAGGGCAGGAATTCTTGGGGACTGACTGGCACCACCACCCCAGTGGTGTTCAGCAGTGGTTCTGAGTCAGGCACCATCACACTCACCCACAGTCATTCAAGAAGGACCACTCATTTACAATGAGGAGACTGAGATGCTGAGAGGGAGCAGTAGAGCCAGGGCTCACACCCAGCCTGACCAGGTGGGAGCCTGTGTGCATGGTCCTTACGCTTTATCAAGGCAAGAGACAGACTGGCCAGCCCCTGCCAGCGCCGGTCTCACATTGTCAGTTCTCTGCAGATAGACTTCCCTCTGCGGCCATGCACTCACATGCAAGAACATAGACACACACACATACTCACACACAGAGATACATGCATAGACACACATACGCATGGAATGCACTTATGGAATGCACTTATGCACATGTGCTCACCTGCACAGAGACTTGCATGCAAAAATGCAAACACACAGGAACACTCATGCACACACACATAGTCACACACAGAGATACATGCATAGACACACATATGCATGGAATGCACTTATGCACATGTGCTCACTTGCACAGAGACTCACATGCACAAATGCACACACAGGAACACTCATGCGCACATTCATGCACACACACACAGAGATACATGCATAGACACTCATATACATGCATAGACGCACATATGCATGGAATGCACTTATGCACATGCACTCACCTGCACAGAGACTTGTATGCATGCACGCACGCACACACAAACACTAGCATGCACACATGTACACAAAGATCACACATGCACACACTCATGAACCCTTACATACATGCACACACAGAGATTACACATGTATTCATATGAACCCAAAGGCATGGACGCTTGCATGTACTCAATGTGTATGCATGCACTCATGTGTGTCCACACAAATGCAAAGAGACATGTGTGCACATGTGGGTACATGTGTGGTGTATGTGTGGGTGCTCACACCGCATACATGTGTAATCATGTGCACACACACCCCTGCATGTATAGATATGCGTGCATGTGCGCACACACCATGTACTTATGCACACATGTGTACACTGGACACACATGTGGATATACATGCATACACTAGACACATGTAAGACAGTAGCATGCACACATGCACACACATATGCTGCATGCATGCACTCATGCACACACTCTCTTCCCGTCCCTCATGACTTTGTCTCATCACTGCTCCCTGGGCAATCTCAAACATTCCAAAGTCCCCGCTTGCTTTCATTTTGCCAGTAATCACACCGCTCTGTGTACAGCTTGAACTTTCTCACAGGAGCCAGGAACCCTTCTCCAGATGGATGCGCAGGGTGAGAGGTTTGCACATTAGGGAGGGGACATGCAGGAAGGCAAGGACATTTGGTGCTCAGATCTGAACATGGCCGGCAACTGCTCTCCTGCAACCTGGCACCTGTCCACTCAGGGACAGCTTCCACCTCATTCTCCTCTCTTGTCCACACAAGTCACTGCCTACTCCTCTTCCCTGGTTCCTATTGATATATATTCCATTTTCAGGAAGCCAGCAAAAATGCCAAGACTACCATCAGGCCTTGTCAGGAGGGTTTCTGCCTTCCTCTGGGAAAAGCCTGACCCTCTCTCAACCTTCTCTTCCTTCTGGAGCTATTCCTTGGTAACAGCTTTGAGCTGTGACCTTCTCCTTGTGCTAGATTTCTGCTTACACATTTACTATCTGAAAACAGTGAACAAGGCCATTTCCGGCCAATTTGCATGTGTTTTCTATGAGCTGAATGTACAGTTTTCTCAAGTGTTATTCAGCAGGGATCAATATCCTGAGTACCATCAGAATAGGTGCCATCAAAACTGCCTTTTTATACCCAATAACACATTGAACTGATTCTCAATGGTGCAGATGTTTCCAAAGCGGTTTCAATACCCAGCGCTTGCCCAAGGCACGCAGCCAGAGTGTTCTTTCTGCCCATGAGCACCCGAGAGCAGAACGCACCAGAAAATGACATCCTTCCGAAAAATCAGTCAGTACCCACCTCCTGTCTCATCTGAGAAGGCTGTGTTGGCACCAGCCCACACCTGGAACTAGGACCCATTCTCAAATTCTGAATTCAAGGAGGTTCACTTGGTGGCCATTTGAACACAGGACTCCTTGGAAAATTCAAATTGTTTGACTCAAGTTGGACTTGGACCAGAAAGAAGGAATCACAGTATGTATCCTCTGACACAAGAAGTAGCCCATTGCCAGTGTGTTGGTTCTGATGTATGGCAACCCCACGTGTTTCAGAGTACAACTGTCCAATGAACCCCATCCTATGAAAGCAGATAGCCAAGCTCTTCTGCTGAGATTCCATTGCATGGATACAAACCGCAAACCTTTTGGTTAAGAATTGAACGCAACGAAAGAAGGGGTGTTCATTAACTTCCCTCCTGAACCCCAATATCGGGGCAGGTTTGGCAGACACACTCTCCCTGACCTGAGCTTCCACAAAGCCTGTAAAATTTGGGGTTGGGCTGTCATGGGGGTCAAGGATGGTGTCTCATATCTTTCTGTTATACTCCCTGTCCTGCTTGGTGAGAGGTATGCTACTAGCCCCATAAAGGGGAGCACGCCATCCCTAACATCTATCTCTCATGGGCTCCCATCCTATAGAGGGGCTTGTCCACACACATGGCACTGAGGGTCCCATGACCACATCCACTGAGGGTGCAGTACCCCGGGCCCTCTGCCTTGGGTTCTACCTAAGCTCAGGTCTTGGGTTCAGAGCAACCTCTGGCCAGAGGCTGGGAATTGGGGCTCTGTCTCTCTCTGCCCTTTTCCCCATCAGAGAAGCTTCCCCCCTGTGCTGGGCACAACGTAACATTCTCTGCTCCTGTTCAGGCACCCTAAGCACCAGGCCAAGGCCACTGTGTAAGTTCTCCTGCCACCTCTAAACCTACCGAAGCGTTAACCAGAAAGGCAGGTTTACAGAATTAATTGTGCTGCTCGCACAGAAGGGACGTCCTTTCTGATGAGGCTGTGTTGCACTTGAACAAAAGGTGTCTTCTCATACCTGGGTGGTCAGGCCAGGTGTACCTGAGCAAAGCCCTTTCCCTCCCCGGGAGGCACTAATCAACACCGGGCTAGAATTCCCAACGTTCCATCCGCCAAGCCGAGTGCAGGGGCATGGAAAGGATAAACATCAGATCTCAACATTTTGGAAAATCTACTTGGCTTCTCACCACCCTGATTGCTATAAGCTGTCATTTGTCTGACCCCAAAGGTCCCTGTGTGTCTGATTGATGTCACTCGGAGCAGTATCTCCTGCCCCCCAGCTGTAGAGCTGGACCCAGGTGTGGGGTCTAAGCCAGGGGACGGCTGATCTGTCTGAGAACTGGCCCTACCCAGCCCCCTGCTCAACACTCGCTGGAAAATGTACAAAGGTGGGTACCCTCATGGAATATACTGTAAACCCACCCATGTCCTCCCACCGCCATCCAACAAACACCTCAGAAAATGCTGATGGGGACATGACAGGACCTATGAGGAGCCCCATGCCTCCACACCAGAGGGGACCCCACTTCACCCCAACCTAGGCAGTACTTACAGGTGTCCCTTTTTCTCCAGCCGGCCCTGGAGGGCCCTGGGGTCCGGGGCGCCCTGGAATCCCGATGGGCCCGGCAGCACCTGCAGGACCTCTCTCCCCTGGAGATCCCTGGGTCAGGGCAAGAAAATGGTTTCCTTCAAAGGCTCTCTAGCAGTGTGAACACTTTCCAGAGCGGCACTCACTCGGGAACCCACTGTGGCTTCCAATGGCTCTTTACATGAGTACAGTTGAAGCTCAGTGAGGTCTGGCCCCTCTTGTCTCCTCCCCACTCTGCTTCTATGAATGTGTCCTTCTTACTTATTGCCCAATGACCCCTCCATCCCCAGAGGCTTGGTATCACTGCCCGCTCTGGGTTCCGTCCCCTAAGTGGTCACTCTCTGCTTTGTTCCTCCACACTCTATGATCCCAACCATTGCTGGCCCCTTCTCAAACCCTGTCTTGCCCACCATGCCTTGCACAGACAACCAGCAGAAGAAGCTGGAGTGCTTCTCTGCTTTTGGGACCATCTGTTTGGCCTGCAGAGTGGGTGGGAGGCAACCGATGGGTGGGTGGGCTTTGTGCCAGGCCAGTACCACTCACCGCAGGCCCTGGTGGACCGGGTGGCCCTTCATTGCCTTTCAATCCAAGAGCCCCCTGTGAAGCAAGATGGATAGAGTCAGGGCCCTGGAGGAAGAGGCCGGGCTGGGCTCCGTCCACCCTTATGGCCCACTTAGCCTGTCACTCACCACTGGGCCAGGAAGCCCTCTGTCCCCAGGAAAGCCACGTAGTCCTGGGGGCCCATCCTTTCCAGGGATGCCGGCAGGACCAGGATCCCCCTGAAACAGAGTCATGGGTTATTCACCTGCTTCCAGCTGCAGAGGAGGCGGCTAGGAGCAGGTGTCCGAGAACCAGGCAGGGCTCTCTCTGAGACCCCACTGGGACACCATGAACCAGGGAGGTGACCTGCTGTGCCCACAGCTCCAGGTATATGAATACTGCCGACCTCAAAAGTAGGTTGGCTCGGTTGACTGGCGTGCTGCTGGGAAAAGTCTGCGGGGGTCCCAGCCCTGTCCCCCGGATACCCAAGGTGGCTGTGCAGGCTGTGGTCTCTGAAGCCACCTGGTTGGCATGCCTGGGACCCATCTGAGAACCGTGACAAGAACAAATGCTCAAAGTGTAACCCCAAATGGTCCTGTGATCAAGTCTGAAACCAAATGTCTGAAAGAGTTGCATGTGAGCTCCCAGCCTTCCACCGTCCTACACAGAGCTTCACTTCCTGGTTTAAACCTGGAAAGTGCGGTGTTTAGAGAGTTTGAGAAACTGCCTACTTGTCACAACAGAGCCAAAGACAGCACAAAGCCTGGAAATGGCCCCTCAGAGGTATTCTGATAGGAAGGAGCCAAGAAACTCACCTTGGTCCCTTCCTTTCCAGCCACGCCTGGGAGCCCCTGTTCTCCAGGAGGCCCTGGGGGCCCAGGGTGGCCGCGTTCACCCATTGGACCAGTCTCTCCCGTGGGACCCTACAGGGACAAGCATTGTTAGCCACAACCACACTTCCTAGAGACATGCAAGGATGTGAATCTCTACCTGAGTCTGAGCCCACACCCACCCAGCCTCCATGTTCCTTCTTGAAAAATCCAGAAGGGAAATGTTAGCAGGCAAAGTCAGTCCTACTCAACATCTTGTGGGTGTGCGCCCCTCTCCCCACCTGAGAGTCCTTCATCCAGTGGACATGGCCTATACTGCCCAGGGTAGGAGACCGGGCGAGGGAGGGACATCGCCAAGGCAGCCGGGAAGTAAGCAGCATGTTGCCTGTCCCCATAGAGCTATGGCCACATCATCACATGAAGAGTGAGAGTGCCAGGAAAAACAAGCCCTCCACAGGGACCTGGGCAGGATCAGGGGTTAGGGAACCAGGCTTCCTTGGACACTAAAGACAAGGACAGCCCACACAGCTGGTCCTCTCCAGGGACCCAGGAGCCTGGCTCCATGCTGACCCAACTGTCCCTCTGGCCTCAAGGTCCTGAGCCTGCTTCCCTGGGTCAGGACCTACCCCTCCTCTCTGCTCCGCTGGGTGCTAACTCCACTATTGCAGAGTTGCTATGTGTAATTAAGCCATCCAGAAGGTGGTGGGCCTTATGCAATCAGGTTAAACCAGAAGCGTTTCCCCAGGGTGTGTTCTATTTCCAGACTATCTTGCCTGAACACCAGCACTTTCCTCTCCCTTCACTTGACCTGCTGATTTGGGAGCATAACTCTAATGGTAAGACATAGGAGCCAATTAATTCCTCAAAATCAATAAATTTCTCTACATACCCTGGATGTGTTGTAGGATAAACACTAGACTGAGAAACACAAGGTCAGCAGTTCAAACCCACCAACCACTCCTTGGAAACCCTATACTGGGCAGCTATGAGTTAGAATTGACTTGACGCCACTTAACAGGAACAACACACCAACCCTCTATGTATTCCTCCTCTCTCCTAGCAGAGCTAGATCTGTCTTAATAAGTCTCTGGGTGGCGTCAACAGTTAACGCTGTCCACTGATAGTTACAAGACTGGAGGTCCAAATCTACCCAGCAGTGCCTTGGAAGAAACGCCTGGTTGTCTGCTTCTAATAATCCACCCAGTTGGCTGTTACTGTGTCTGTTCTCTCAAGAACCTTGCCTCAGACACTGGATGAAAGCAGAGGGGGTCTCACCTGAGGGCCCACCACACCCGGGGGCCCTGGAGGGCCAGTCTTGCCTTGGAAGCCCTGTGGAGACAGAATTTCATGCTGTGGGTTACCTCGCACCACCATATATTTCTCCACCCCAGCTCCCAGATGGTGGGCACCCCCAGATTTATTTCATGTGGGTCTTTGGGTATGGATTCCACAGAGGCCCTCTGGTTTCACAAGCTGCTTCTCCACTGCTGGGCTTCATCTTTATCTTGTCACTAAATGTTCACGTTCTGAGGAGGCTTGGTGCCGTGTATTGGCTGCCGGGAGGGGCCCAGTCCTATGTGAGCTTCTCAGAAGTTACTTTGTGGGCATATTCCTGCTTCTTCCACAAGGCCTCGGGGCATGGCGAACTAATGTGCACTCGGCACTTCATCACATCACGAGCAAGCCATGACTCCCCGCTTCCAAAACCCAGTGGCTCCGAGGGACGATTACCTCCGTTTCTGCTCAGCACACTCACGTGGAGAGAAGAGCTGAGCTGAGCTTTGAATAATTTGGCTAAGCTGTATGCAGACTCCTGCAAAGGAAGGAGCTGGCTGCGAGGCTGGGCTTCATTCCTGGTGCTGGCTGCCGACACACCATCTGCAGCCCCAGGTGACTGAAGGAGAGATGTGCATGGGTCCCTCCTCGTTCAGAGGAAGCACCAGAGTCTGCCGAGGGAAGCGGCATGCATTCATCCCCGGATGAAGCCAGGTGCTAGCATTGCAAAAGCCTGTGCAGCCTCCAAGTTAGTCAGCCTCCGTCTCCTTGTGGTTTCCAGGTGCCCGCTGTAGCCCAGAGGAGCTGCACAAAGCCCTTTGCAGGGGCACCTCTGGGGCCAGAGATAAGAGATGGTAGGATGGGCAGGTGGCCAAGAGGAGTATCCAAGTGGAGCAGGCACCTCCTCCGGGGGTCTGGATTAGCAGATCCAGTAAGAAAGGACCACCCCTGGCTGATTCTGAGCAATAACCTATTGACTCACATTGATGGGGACTAAGAGCCATTTCTAATGAAAGGGGCCCAGTAAAGACCTTGCCCATGAGGGAGTCTGGACTAGCCTGAGGAAATGCTCTTATGTGCAGAGAGGGATCTCACGGCGGGGGGAGCCCAGCATCATCTCAGAAGCCCCGTCTCATGGCAGCATAGAAAAGGCAGCTGGGAGGACGTATATTCTTATTCCAGCAGAGACCAGCAGCCTCATTATTTCACCAGGATAAATCGGAGAGAAAGCAAACCCTTTCATCCCGTCTCCTCGGAAAGGCATTTGAGAACAATATGCCGGCTCAGAGCTCTATTTTAATTTTTCTCTGCAAAAACTGGGGCAGAAGAGTCTCCATCCATCAGGCACTGGGCACCACGCAGCCATCACCAGAAGGTGTAATTAAAAGAGCTTTCATCACAAGGAGCCCCAGTGGGACGAGGGGGGCTTTTTTATACCAAGAGCATCGTAAACACAACACTTAGAGCCCATTTCGTGTGGAGCCTGCTTCTCCGGTGAGAGACCTTTAAAGACCTCTGTATGACACCCAAGAGCCCTGGTGGCGCAGTGGGGGTGAACACTGAGCTGCTAAAGGCACCTCAGCGGTTCGAACCCACCAGCTGCTGCAGAGGAGAAAGATGACAGCCTCAGGAACCCAATTGAGCAGTTTTACTGTGTCCAGGGTTTCTGGTAGCGTAGTGGTTATGAATCAGGCTGCAAACCACAAGGTCAGCAGTTCAAAACTACCAGCTGTTCCACGGGAGATAGATGAGACTTTCTACTCCTGTAAATATTTAGAGCCTCAGAAACTGAGTTGCTATGAATCAGAACCGACACATAACACCAACAACAGGGTTTCTACTCATTAGAATTGACAGATGGCAGTGGGCAAGTACGAGGAAACTGCAGAGGCCATGGGCCATTCCCGCAAACCCATGGTGTATCTGCCCTGTGTTGACATCAGTGCTGTTGTGTGTCCTTTCAGCTGGGTGCAGTAGAGTGTGCACACAGAAGGAATTTGGGGACGTGAAGGTCAAAGGGCACTGCGAGTCCCCAGCTGGTCACAGGCTGGACCCTAAGATCCCAGCTGAACCCACAACTTCCATGAACAAGGTGTGAAACTGGGTCAAGTCCCAGCTTGGAGCCAAAAGATGATCATGTTCCTCAGAAATGTGTTCTCTTCCAACTGAAGTGTTGGAGTCCTTCAAGGTGTAGGTGTAGGTGTAGGTGTTGGTGCAGAACCAAAGAAATTACTATCTTGTCAACACAGTTCTGACCCTGTTTCCATGGCAACTAGTAATCTATTGGAACATAAGAAATCCGTCCAAGATTTTTCTTCTTGAGAACATTTTTGACGCTCTAGTTGGAACCGTGAAACCCTGGTGGTGCAACGGGTTAAGTGCCGGGCTGCTAAATTAAAGGTCAACAGTTCAAATCCACCAGCTGCTTCATAGGAGAAAGATATGGCAGTCAACTTCTGTAAAAATTTACAGTCTTGACAACCCTACAGGGCAGTTCTACTCCATCTTATTGACCAAACAACAGGAGTTTGGTTTGGTTTTAGTTGGAAATGTTACCCTAATTTGAAAATTGTATATGAAATAAACATCAATGAATTTCTGTGATTGGCTTAATAGGATTTGTTGTTTTCACACTCTAATAGTGGGTGTTGAAGGAACAGTCTAAGCCCCCACTGTCTGCCCCCCAGTCGGCACAGCCCAGATACACATAACTGGGTGGGCAACAGGCCTAGGTCCTTCCTTCTGAGGTGTGTCACATACGATAACTGAATGCACAGTTGAGGTGCAGAACCGTTCCAGCTGCCTCCACAGTAAGCATGCTCTTTAGTTGAAGCTGGTTGTGCTCAAAATGATTCTGGAGGAGAGCACAAAGGGGTGCCTGGCTGGGGTTCCAGTAAGTCGCAACATTTGTTTGTGTCATGGTGGATGGTGGTGGGACATTTGATGTTATAGAAGACGAGGTTATAGAAGACGCGGACTGGCCTGTGTGGCCATCCCGCCACACCAGTTGGACAGGTCCACCCAGGAGAAGGTATACATCTGTGACCCCAGCACTCCAATACTCACAGTCTCGCCTCTCTGTCCAGGGTGTCCGGGGAGTCCATCCTTGCCTGGGGGGCCCTGGAGAAAGAAGTAAAAGAAACAAGCCCATTAAATTCCAAGCAGCTTGCTCCTTCAGATGTAACTCCACCCTGGGCAATATGAATGGCCACTTGGCTTCAATGATTCCTGCCCACCAGTGTCCTCTGACAGTCATGGGGTTGGCAAGATGAGGTGGAGCTCACCCTGAGCAGGACATACACTCTGCCTCCCCTCAAAAGGACTCAGAGAACCCTCACAACACCCCAGATGCATACATGCTGCTTCCTCATCTCCTGGGGTAGAAACCTGGGAACATCTAAGCTGCTCTCCATGGTCACAGCCAGGAGGGTGCACAGTAGGACCTCACCCCAAGTCTGTCCAGTTCAAGTCTGTCCAGCAGGCTTCTTCCTAAGCACTGCCCTCTACTACACCCCTGGAGGCATCAGTGCCCACTGCCTGATGACTCTTCTGTTTGTAGGGGTCTTAAAAGGGAACTGTTACATACTGCACTCTCATGGGTTGAGTCATGTCTCCCCAAAAAAGATGTGCTGAAGTGCAAACCCCCGCCCCCGCACTTGTGACTAGAGACTGGAAATAGGGTCTTGGCAGATGGAATCAAGTTAAGGTGGGGGTCATACAAGGTAAGAGGGGGCCTAAATCCAATGCCTAGTGTCCTTACAAGGAGAGAGAACTATGAGAACACACAAGGGAGAAGGTCATGATTGGAGTGACCCATATACAAGCCAAGGAATGCTTCAGGGTCTCACCTCTCGCCTCCCTCTGCCCAACAACCCACATGGGCCCTCAGGGAAAACCAAGTGTCTCCAGGAAACCCTGAGGTCAGAGGAGCCGGGTACGCAGCCCAGCAAGACAAACAGAGTACTTACAGGAGGACCCTTGGGTCCAGGAAATCCTGTTGGTCCTTGAGGTCCATTGGGTCCCTGGGGACAGAGAATGGCCCGTTTGAACACAGGTGTCTTCTCCAGCATTCAGGGGCCAGGCAGCCCCGACTGCCACCCACTCCAGGGTGCAAGAGCCATTCCCTGGGGTTCCCTATAACCTCGTCCCCAGCCAGGGGGTAAAGAGGAGGCCAGGTCCCATGGGGTGCAATGGGATGGGACAAGGACCAGGTATTCCAATGTCTCAGCCACTTCTAAACCCCGAGTCCCAGAGCCAGTGGGTAGAACCCTCTCAGCCAACAGTATTCAGAATCACAGATCCACCTTGGGGACCCCAGGGAAATCCCTTTCACCAGCAGGGTGCCCTGTGCCCCAGTCTCCATGCCAACCCTAGGAAAATAACAGAAGGGTGGCTGAATTCTAGGGTGACTCCTATGGCCCCTTGGGGGAAGTACTTACCCGTTCCCCAGGAGGGCCAGCAGGGCCATCACCTCCCGAGTTGCCCTGGGGAGAGAGACAGAGACAAACTTATTAGTACTGATTACATCATTGCATTTGATCCAAGACTCTGACCATGACATCATCACCATTTCAGAGCCAACACTGGGCATCTGGATCCTGAAGGTCACCCTGACCTTCAGGAGTGAAAGCGTTAGGGCTGTAGCCGAGGGATCTGAAGTTCTAGGAGAAGAGAGCAGCTCCCGGCAGGCAGTATATTAAAACCCACCACAACAGGCACACAGGACAAGGACCTGGTGTCCCAATGTCCATCGCAGCGAGTGTCCAGCTTCCTGTAGGGGAGCATTAGGTAGGATCATGGGGGAGTGTTGACTGCAGCCTGCTGGTTGGGTGAAGGCCCTGGGCAGGTCAGCGGTTAAGTCTTTGGCCATCAGCTAGAAGGATGGACGTTTGAGTCCACCCAGAGGCAACTCGGAATGTACGTGCAAATAAATCAGCCTCTGAAAAACCCATGGAGCACAGCTCTACCAGGACATATGTGGGCACCATGAGTCAGAGTTAAGTGGGTTTATTATCTGGGTCAGCTCCAGCTGTCTGGGAGGACAGCCCCTTCTGTCCATTCGTCAGTCATTCATTACACTCATTTGCTTAGCCGGCCCGGGCGTTAGAATTCGGAAACTGCAGACAGACCGGGGTCAATCCTTCCACCGCACAGAAGGAAGGAAGACAGGCCTCCTAGGGTTTTGCCTCCACATAGAGAGAACTTCCTTTGGGTTTCTAGCAAAAGTCTCTGTGCGGCTCACCCAGCACTTTCAGAGGAACACAGACTCAGTCAGGTTGGCCTCCCTGGACCGTGGTGGAGCCCCTGTCTTTAGGGGACAGAGCCATGTCTTGGGGCTGTCACATGGTCTAGCCCATGGCAAACCCATGTGTGCAGAATAGGCATCAGGGCTGAGACCCGCTTGTGTTTCTGAACGTGAATTGGTAGGCGGTTCATGGATTGCCACTCTCTTTGTCCTACTTTCTCCCTGTCCCCCTGTCTCCATTCTCCTCCTTTCCTAACCGAGATCTTTTGAAAGCAGATCACAGCCACAAAGCCCCAAGAAAACTTTTGTTAATAAAAAAGAGAAAAACAAAAGTCTTGCTATACACATCACCCCCGCCCCGGGGGCTCCTTGGCAGGGTGGCAGGGGGGTGGAGGTGGGGGTGCAACCGCTTCTATCTGGCTACCTGGAGAAATCATAGGCATAGGCAGACATACCTTGGGACCAGGCTTCCCGGTAATGCCCCTCGGACCTCTCTCACCCCGAGGACCCTGGGCAGACAGAGAAAGGAGGACAGTCAGGTTCAGAAATCCCCTCCTCCACCCCACCCACAGATGCCCACTCAGATGCCCACTCAGATGGTTACCGTTGGACCACGCTGCCCTCTGGGTCCCGGCTTTCCAGGAGTCCCCTAGAAGCAGAGAAGACAGGTGGTCATTCAGAAGAGTGGTGGTCAGTCTTTTGGGTATCAAAAGGCCTTCTGCCCATTTTCATAGGACTTGTCGTCCCACGCCCCCCACTCTGCCCACACCGTGCTGGAACCTAATCCGCTTGCTGAGGCTTGATGGATGTTCAGAGCTGTCTTCTGCTCCTTTCCCTCAAAGCCCAAACCCACCTCTCCTCCCTGCCTGCCTCCCAGCAGGGGAAATCATTATTGCACGAAGAGGCAATGGGCCCCTTTCATACATAATTTACTGTGGCCACAGTTAAGAATATTAGCCATTAAACTTTCAACAGGCTCTGCAGACAAGCGAACATACAATTTAATATATAAAGCGCCTATCCGGGAGCCGTTTCTTCTCTTTCAGACTTCAGACTGCCTTTTCTGTTACTGCAGTCGCTTTGCATTTTTCAACCCACAGGGAAATGTTTTTTTTTCCCCCAAACACAAAGATATTATAGCTGAAAGTGCCATTTCCCACAGCATGTGGGCATGAGAGATGGGGTACAGGCCCTATAGCTCCATGGTTTCTCAATCCACTTCCTGGGTTTGGTTCTGGTTGTAGTAAGACAGAAAACGGGATGAGCAGTTAATCAACACTCCCCCACAAAAGCACCCTCTCACTCCATCTCCTTCGTTCCCAGCCACCCCCTACCCCACCAGCACCAACACAGCTTTCTAGGCCCTGTCTCAAAAGGGATCTAACAAGACCATTTAGCATGATGAGTTAATTATGTTGCTCTGTAACAACACACTCTGGCTCCAGTATTTTAATTATGTGGCAAGATCCTTTGACTTTCAATAAATATTTGCACATGAAAATTAATAAAACATCTGCTTTCTTCCAAAGATCAACTCTTTTTTCCTGGGGAAGCCTTCACGGCCAGACTTGGCTTGTTCTCGGCATTGTGGGGAGGGGGTGGTGGTGAGCCTCACGGGGTCTCCATCCCGGATGCCAATTCCAAATCCCTAGTCCTCCATCAGCCAACAGATGGCATGGGTTGTGGCCCAGCTTGCATCTGAGCCCACGGAGGAAGAAAAATGTAGGGGCATCAGACCAGGGCATTCACAGTACTGGCAACAGAATCTGCTGGACACAATGCTGCTTTGGATCACGTCCTCTGTCCTCGCTCAGGTGGCCTGGGAGGTCTCCAGCCCATGGAGTTTTTAAGGCTGTGACCTTTTTGTTTTGTTGGTTTTGAACTTTTTATTGTGAATTGGGTAGAGGTTTACTGAGCAGATCAATGTTCCATGCAACAATTCAGAACAATTAGCAAAGTTGTCTTCAGTTGGAAAGTCAAGCTTGTCTGGGGACCCGCATGCCCCAACTGTGTCTGGGAGGCACACGGTGGCCGGGTGAGGTCACTCCTAGCAGCCACATCCTTCCCTGCCATTGCCCATCTACTCTCGGAACAGACATGTGGCATCTGGAAGGTGTCTGGTTCATGAAGGCTGAGCAATCGGAACATCACACATCCATGTCACCCTGGACAAGCTAGCACGGGACATTGCTGCCTACCCAAGTCCTGCCAGAGTGAAACTGTCTATCCACCAAGGGCTGTGGCAGACCATGGGGTCTGCAGAGGAGGGTCACACTGAGACCGCCATGTGTGCTGACCTCTCTGGTTCCCTATGACCACCAAGGGACTTCAGCATAACCACCGTTCTCCCTTTGTGGCTCTGGTAGGACAATTCTGCTTGTACAGACAATTCTGGTGTTGACATCAAAGTGTTGGCCAAACAGCATATCTGAGGAGGGGTACACCCCGAAGCTCCATCTCAGCTGGGATGGCCAACCTTGCCTCTGGCAGCACACAGAAGGGCTTCACCCCTATGGGGCTGAGTCTTCACCTCTGCTCTGTAACTGTTCCCCCATAAACACAGCTTGGACAGTCTCTGTGTCCAGGGGCCAGGCCAGCTCAGCAACAAAGGCCGCAGTGGGCTCAGTGTCCTATTTGATGAGCTGCGCTTATCACATGATTCTGTGAGGCACACCCAGAGCAAGTGGCAGAACAACCCAGCTCCCAGTCCAGTGCCTCAAACTCCTTTGTTCATCCTGACAGCCTAGCGGGAATCATAGGACAATGGCAGCTTGGCAGTGGGAAGGAGAGGAAACACCTTGAACTTGAGCTGGGAGTGAGTGGGGGCGGGGTGGGGGAAAGAACAGCAAGGTTCTGTTTGGATGGTCGGTTTGAACAGCAAGGTCGATGGCTCAAGCTCACAAGCCACTCTTTGGAAACCTTACACAGGGTCGCTGTGAGTCAGAACTGAAATACTTAACACTTAGCACTTAACAACAACAAAAGCAGCCTGGAGGAAGGGCTGCTTGGGTACGAGGAATCTGGTTCTCACAATGGCTGGAAGGAGTTTCTGGGAGGCAATGTTTACTAGAAGCTTCCCCTCCTTGGCCACTGACTTCCTGTCATACCACCGCCCAGCCACCGCGCTCACGGAAGAGCCATGGTGCAGTGCTCAAGACCATGAATTCAAGGTTGAGGGTTCTGAACGGCAACCTTGGAGAGAAGTAAACAGGCCGTGGACTCGGGAACATGCTGGGAAATAGCAAGCTACCTGGCCAGAGGCCGGGCCATGCTTACCCTGCCACCTTTCTCTCCATTGGAGCCCGGAAATCCAGGAAATCCAATAGAACCCTGAAAGAAAGGAGATTAGGGGATCCTCATGAGCATGGGATTTCTGGGTGGGTTGTGCTGCATGTGCAACTGAGGGGAGGGGCAGTCTGTGTCATAGTTAGTGGTCGTGGCATGAGTTCCACACACTCATCCACTTGTCCATCCACCCACCCACTCACCCATCCACTTACCTATCCATCCACCCATCAATCCATCCATCCACCCACCCACCCACTGACACATCCACTTACCCATCCATCCATCCACCTATCCATCCACCCATCCATCCACCCACCCACCCACTCACCCATCCACTGACCTATCCATCCACCCATCAATCCATCCACCCACCCACCCACTGACACATCCAGTTACCCATCCATCCATCCATCAGTTCATCCACTCAACCACTCACCCATCCACCTACCCATCCATTCATTTATCATTCCATCCATCCACCCACCCACTGAACCATCCATCCATCCACCCACCCACCCACCCATCCACTTACCTATCCATCCACCCATAAATCCATCCATCCATCCACCCATCCACTTACCCATCCTCTTACCCATCCATCCATCCCATCCACCTATCCACCCACTCATCCACCCACTCGTGCATCCATTCATCCATTCTTCCATCCATCCATCCACCCACCCACTGACCCATCCACTTACCCCTCCATCCACCCATCCATCTGCCCCATATACTCATCCACCCATTTGTCTACCCACTCATCTACTCGCACATCCATCCATCCATCCATCCATCCTTCCATCCATCCATCCATCCATCCATCCATCCATCCTTCCATCCATCCATCCATCCATCCATCCATCCATCCATCCATCCATCCATCCTTCCTTCCATCCATCCATCCATCCACCCACCCACTGACCCATCCACTTACCCTTCCATCCACCCATTCATCTGCTCCATATACTCATCCACCCATTTGCCTACCCACTCATCCTCCCACTCATCCACTCACCCATGCATTCACTCCTCCATCTGCCCATCCACCCATCCACTTTGCCACTTAACGTATCCACTCATCTGCCATCTACCCACTCATCCACCCACCCAGCCCCTCACTCCGATCCCACATTGTATTATTCATGGATCCGCCTAGTCATTTCTCCACCCATCTGCCCACCCCACAAACATTTCGTGCTGATCTTGGAGACTCCAAATTTAAAATTCCAAACTGAGTCTTAACCACACTTCCCCCACCCACCCTCCACTCACACACCACATCTGCATAATGCAGCTGATGCGGAAGAAAAGGAAACAATACTGTAAGACTTAGCTGGCGATGAGAAGGTACACGTCTCACACTGATGATGTTTTGTTTATTATTCCTTGTTGCTATACAATGCTGTCTTCCCAGGATGCTACTATGTACAGAATGACAGCTTTCAAAGTCACAACAAACACTAATGAACCCAGGGTGGTATCAAGCAGCCACTCAACCCAGATCTCTGCGAGGGACACAGAAGGGAGATGGGCAGTTCCCGGGCATGGGCATCACTTTCCCATCCACAGTATTGGTGCAGGTAGCTACTCTCCATGAGCCTCTCCTCCCTGCATAGCTAAAAGCCCTCACCTAAAAGTGCTTTTCTGGAAGAACACATAGGGTTCTTATCCCTCTGAGGGACTGAGTCCACCAGCCACTCTTAGGCCCAATGCCAACCCCAAAAGAGATGACAATGAGGACATCTGAAGTGAGGGGACCACCAGAGCCCCCTTCAGGATGGGGACTGCATGTGGGAGCCATCCCTGCATTTAGTCATGAGACATGCAGGCAGTTCAAAGTCACACCCTCATCTCTCCAGAAGGCTGTCTGGGCCTGCTGTCTGTCTGCCCTCTCCTCTCCTCCCCAACCCCAGATGGACTTATGCTGAAAGACAGAGGCTGTGCCCACCAGGCCCACTGTCATGGTCTGCAGGGACATCTGATGGGACACAAGAACCCAGTTCACAGTACATCCCCTCCTGTGCTGGGGGTGGACTTGCACACACTGTAGGTCACTGTCCTTCTGCAGAGGAGGGATGGGGATCAGACATTTCCTCACTGGGTGGGAGCACTCAGCCCATGCCCCCTGTGCTGACGAGGCTTGTGTTTGAGTCCTGAACTAATGGTACACAGAAAAGCCACAGATACAAATTGGAGGGAGACAGGGGTTCTCAGCTCTTTAATTATGACTCTCATGTCTGGCAGCCAGCTACTCTTTAAGGAAGATCCATGAATGATAAAATGTGGGATTTGAGGGGGAGAAAAAAAATAATAATGTTTTCAATGATTTCCAAAGCCTTAAGGAACAATTTCACTTAAACCTGAACATGACTTCATGTTAGAAAGGTTTTGTCTTTCTCTGTATCTCAGTTAGGAACAAATGACCTGAAATCTCACAAACAAGTCCCATCTGAGAGGAGACAGGCCCCAAGTTCCCCTGGAGGACCTCAGGTGGACGTCCTGCCTCCTTCAGCTCAGGGTCTGTTCCATTTTCTGAAGGATCAGCTGCTGTCCTTCCAAATTAGCTAAAAGGAGGCCAAGACTGTGCACAGAGTGACCTTAATGGACACCAGGGTCTGGCATCTGTCCGTGCCAGAGGTGCAGGGTGGGGACAGGCTGGGAGCATCTGGACAGGATGTAAGGATGTAAGTTACCTTGGGTCCTTGTCTTCCTGGGTACCCTGGTAACCCTGGTACTCCGAGTTTTCCCTGGGGAAAGAAAGATAAGAGTCATGTTAGATAGAGTTTCATCAGATGGTGTTACCTTAGGGCAGACAGAAGCCAGCATGGTTTGACAAGGGGAGTGGACTAGGTAGGACAGGTTTCCAGAGGCCGAAGAGTGTGGTCATAGTGAAGAGGCTGGTCCTTGCAGGGCGACTTCTGGAAGCACCCAAGAAGTTAAGACAGGAAGGTTCCAGAAACCCCTGACCTGGCTTAAGACAAAGGCCCCTTGAGTAGGGATCAGATGCCATCTCTGACCAGAGTGCTTAAAGACACAACCCCATGTCTTCTCCAGGGTGACGTTTGTCATCTGTCAGAGCTCCAGCCTCGGGGGAGGTGTTGGGAAGATGCCCCCATGCTTACTCTGCCAATCCCACAGAGATGGGCAGTTAGATTGCCCATGTGAGGGTGATGCCTATAGGTGGTGCCCCAGAGGGTCCCACACAGGATAAGAAAGCAGTGCTCTGCCCACAATGCACTTGTCGGGAGGGTGGCCTGAGGCCCTGGTGGAATGCATTCAAGTCTGCTCTGCCTCACTTACCTTCTCCCCACTGGGCCCCAGGGGGCCAGGGTCACCATTGGGGCCTCCTCGACCCTTCGGGCCTTCAGGACCATCTTCCCCTCGGGGACCAGGTGGGCCAATCTCTCCCTGCAAGTCAGAGAAGAAGAGGTGAGGGAGGCGCCCAGCTCGCACCCCTACACCCGCACAGCTCCCATGGCCTTTCCCGGGGGACTAGCAGCTGCATCCCAGACAGCTGGTCCTCCAACCGCCCTTGACTCCCTGAGCCGATGGCCTGGGCTCATGTTACTGGCAAAGCGGGCCCATTTTGCAGCAAATTACAAGGCTTGGCCTCGCTGCCACCTCGCTGCCAAGGCTGTCCTGCTATTCCAGCGGGCTGCCAGCTCCCACTTCCCAATCACCGTCTCTAAACTGAGTTCCTCTTGACTAAACCAGCTGGCGAACAATAGGAGCTCTCCCCAAAATAAAATGGATAGAAGCCCAGACTGGAAAAACACAAGCTCCCCATTGCCATCCTCCTGGTGACCCCATGTGTGCAGAGGAGGCCTGTGCCCCACTGGGTCCTCTTGGCTGTGATCTTTACAGAAACAGATAGGCAAGGCCTTTCTTCCCTGGTGACACTGGGTGGGTTTGAACCACCAACCTTTACATTATCCAGTGCAGACCATTTGTGTTGCCCAAGACTTACTTCCCCAAAGACAGCAAGACAACCCAAAATTGTGAGGCATGAGGGATATCGCTTTCCTGTTCTGAAATCACGGGAGGTGTTGAAATGGGTACCAGGCCCTAAGCTACGTAGTTACCTGGGCACGAGAGGCCCACCGACGGCCCGGGGAATGTCACCTTAGGGACAGAAGAGGTTTAGTTGTCACTGTATCCAACAACCCCAAGTCGTGGATGGGAAACCTTGGCTCAGGCAAGGAAGGGGGCTTCCAAGGTCAAGAGCAGAGCACAGTGAGTCCCAGAATGCCCTGCCTGCCTCTTGCTAAGCCCTCGGAACATCTGTTCCCAAGAACAGCTGTACACCAGCCAGCTGAGCAGTTCCAAACCAAAACGTGTACTGCATGACAATCAGGCAAACGGCATCAGAATTCCTGCGCTGCGGCTTGAATGATGGTTTAGTGTGTGCTGCCTCTACCATAAAGACCCTCCCTCTCACACCAGACAGGGCACCTGCAGAGCGCCAGGCTCCAGACGTGTCCCAGCCACCCAGCAACGACAAGAACCTCACTCGCAGGGAGGAAGACCATGGCATATCTTTTGTGCCAACTCCTTCAAAGATGCATCTCATCATATGGACCCCAAATGTGGATGTAACCATCAGAGAGGAGGATAAAAGGCGTCACACCAAGCTGAGAGGGACCTTTAGGTGTGTATCTCCCACTATGGAGAAAGTTCTAGGCTGGGGATGCCTCACTTCTCCCAGCTCTGATAGAGACACTCCAGGATGAGTCTCCTGCCTGTCATGGGATGAAGTGATGAGCACACAGGGAGGATGAAATGATGAGCACACAGGGAGGTCTCTCCTTCTGGCAGCTTCTGGAGGAGCCCAGGACCCCACTTCGCAGGGGGATCCTTGAAGCAGCCAATGAGAAGCCCTTACATGCTGACAGGCATCCAGCCAGGTGCTGTGGCTGCCGCCCGCGGTGCTCACCTAGCTACCCTGACTCACCTGGACCAAGGATGGAGGCCCATCTATACCTCTGCCTGGGCGTCTACCCTTCCTGGAGGTGTCAGGGGGCCAGGAAAGCCACCTCATCAGAAACTCCCATGAGCAGCCTTTGCATCCCCTCTCCTCACTTACACGAAAGCAGCCTGTGCCTCCGATACAGAGCCCCCTCCTCTCCAGAGAGACTGGTTTTCTCTGGAGCTCAGCTGCCTTACTCATTACAAGTGGGTGCATCTTTTCCTGGCAGTCCCATGCAAGATGGCAGAGCTGTCAGGGGTCCTAGCAGTCCTGAGCAGTTCCACGGACTCAACAGCAAGCCCCCAGTCTGGCCAGGGTCAGTTCTGAGCGTGGCCTTGTGGCCAAATGTCTGCAGGCCCTTCCTGTCTTGTCCCACATCGCGGTCATTGAGTCAATTTTTTAAAAATCCCCATTGACCCCATGAAGTCGGACTTGTGTCCTGAAAAGACAGGTGGGCATCAGGACCCCCTGCCTGTGAATGTATTTGGAGACAGAGTTTCCTTTGTAATGCTAGTGAGCTCACCCACAGAATAGCCCTATTCCCTGTAAGTGTGTCTCATGACAGAAACCGAATCCACCAGATACCCATGAGGATCATCGAGGGCCACCGCAAACACCTCAACTAGACGTGAGGTTCCAGAAGGAACTTGAAATTTCCAGAGTGTGAGGAAACAAATACCTGTTCTTTGAGGCCACCCACATGTTTTGTGACAGTAGCTCCAAGAGACTAAGACCCACATGGACACAGGACACGAAGACCAGTGACTACACCTGTCCCTAACCCCATAGGGCTAATACTTTCAGAGAGGAGGAGCTAGAGAGAGTCCGGCACTTGGACCCCTGCTGTCCCCGTACCCTGACTGGCACTGTCTGAAGAGGGGTCCCGTAAGAAGCCTGCTATGACCCCATGCACCCTGTTCCTTCCCACAGACTTGTCCAGTCTCTCCCAACCTGAACCCCAGACTCCAAACACTCACCCGGTCACCCTTGATGCCCATGTCTCCTTTAAACCCGGGAAAACCATCTTCACCCTGGACAGGAAGACAAGGATGAAAACCAATGAGCTGCTTCCCAGCAGAGCAAGACCCCTGTTCACATCGGGTCCTCACCCCCAGACTCTGGACAGCACAATGGGCAGGAAGCTGGTAGTCCACAGCCCTCTGTACTTAAGGTTCTGGTTGGGGAGTGGGGGCCCAGGGCCTCTGAGTTGTGGGCTAGGGGATGTGTCCACTATCCAATCACTGCATACTCGAGTTTAAGGAGGGGGAGCTGGAGGAAGAATGTTCCCAGAGAATCTGAATTTCAGCTGCCAGCATTGCTTAAGGCAGGCTTCCTGGGAGACTACAGTGGGCACAGAGCCCACAGGAGGGCGCCACCTGCCGGCAGAGATGACAGCCCACAGGTACACCTTGGGCATTTTCTGGAAGAGAGGGCTGTGCAGATCCGGGCATTTGTGCAGGTGGGATTCACAGAGACGTCTCTGAGTTTCAGGGGTCTGCTGTCTGCCCCAGGTCCTAGCTTACATGCACTTCCTACCCCCAGGAAACCCTCTCCCAGAAAAGGACCCTGGCTTCCACACACCCTCCTGATTCTTCAGCAGCCTAGAGAAGAGGAGGACAGGATGTGCTGGAGGGGACATGTCCTTGGGTCTCCAAGGCCCCTGTCCACTATGCTGAGCACAGACAGTACTGGCCATTAGGCAGCCATGACCACAAGAGATGCCGAGCTTTGGATAGGTCACTGCTCACCCCGCCCTAAGCGGCCTCTGCCCCCCAAACCCCGTCCTGGGGGTGGGGGGAGAAATACCTGGTGACTCCCCAGGCCAGAAGGTAGCCCTGTGCCACCCAGCCAGCATGGGACAATCCCAGCAGCCCTGCCTCTGGCTAAGGAGCCAGTGAGAAAGGGTGTCCTGTGGCCATCTCTACCTGCCCTTTTCCCCTCTGCACATAAACAAGCTCCCACCCCAAGTGGTCTCTGCTCCCCTCACACTCAGCAACCACCTGAGCTCCAGTTTATTTTATGGGATCCCAGTCATCGTGTAAGGCCTGAGGCGGGACGCTGCCAGGTGGGACAGCCAACACTCACCTTCTCCCCCTTGGTACCCTTCAAGCCTCGGATGCCGTCTGCCCCCTGGGAGTCAGGAGAGGGAAACAGTTACAGACTGTGTGAGGACCAGGTACAGCCTCAGCCACCCCGCACCCTGCCAACCACACCCGGTCTCTGCATGTGTCCATGCTCTCAGGGGAAAGGACCCTCCCTGCCGAGGGACCCGGGGGATTCAGGAGGCCCTGACCCAAGCTCAGACAGCTTTCCTTCTAAGGGCCCTTCCCTGGTCAGCACACCTTCTTATGGACGCCCCCACCCCCACCCCGTTGCCCCTGTAGAAACACTCCCTTCACTCTGAAATTTTGGGAAAAGGAGATTGGTGAGGTCCCGGCCACGGTCTATGGTTTGGTAGCCTCATTTAGGAAGTGGGGACGAAACCAGGGGGAGCAAACCCAGGTAAACACCTGGCTCACAGTAGAATGACAGTTGTGGCCATCTTATTATTTTAATTCTTTCTCATCAGTAGCGACCCTGTACAGGGTTCCCAAGAGTGGCTGGTGGGTTTGAACCACCGGCCTTGTGGTTAGCAGTCCAGTGCCTATGCCATATGATTGTTGTGGTTTAGTTACTGTTGGGTCAGTTCTGAACCATGGTAACCCCATGATGTCACAGTAGAGCTGTGCTCCATGAGGTTTTCAATGACATGAATCTTTGGGACAGGAATCTCCAGGGCTTTCTAAGTAGATTCAACACCCAGCCTTTTGGTTACAAGTTGAGCCCTTTAACTGTTTCCACATCCAAGGCCTCCATTAGGATTAGCAGCATTATTACTCAGGCTGACTAATTACTATTTATTATAATCAGAATCAATTCAAGACACATCCCCCCATTCTCCCAGCAAACACAAGAGTCCAAGGTGAGCAGCCCGACCTTCTGGACTGTGGCGCTCACAGTACCTGCACCAGGCGCCCAGGGAATGGGATGAGAAACAGCCACATCCTAGGCTTTCTGGCCTTTGGCCACAGAGACTCACCCCTCTGGCTGCCCTAGGCTCTCTCAGGCCACCTGCCCATGGATAAGAGCCATGGCCTCCCAGCAGCCCCTTCCTCCCAGGACCACTGACTACCAGCTGCCCTCTTATGACCAGAGCGCTCCTCAGACTGGGCAGTTCTAAAGCTTGTCCCTCCCTGGGGGTCCTGGATGGAGGGATGGAGAGGAACGGGGAGGGATGCTAGAAACAGCAGAGCTGCAATTTGGCAGGGGAGCAGAGACCCTATAGCTCCCTTATTTCAGGGCACCTCATGGGAGAGGATACACTATCTCTCTGAGGAGCTGACTACCGGCTGGGTCACCCGGAAAGACCCCCAGTCAGGGCACACCCACTCCCATTGTTGACCCAGCCCAGCCTCCTACTGGGCTCAGAGCAGTGGCCTCAGAACACAGAGTGGAGGTGGGTAGGAAGGCAGGGGTGGTGGGATGAGCCCGGCTGCAGAACAGACCTGCTAACTCAGCCTGGCATTATGGGAGCTTCAACGAGTTCATGGGACAATCCCATGATCTTCTCATTCCATTTTTCCACGAATGTTTTGAAGCCCCCTCATATATGACTGTGGGCTGGCGTGGCAGGCGTTTGCGTCATTGTTCAACAGGAGCCAGGCCGGGGACGGTGGGTGCAGCCTCAGGGGGCCTCCCTCCACAACCGGCTTAAACATGAGTCCACAGAATGACATCAAACTTAACACGCCAGCAAGGGGGGCCTGCTCTGAGCAGCCCAGCACAGCCTCGCGATAGCTGGGGGTCCCTGCAGCACCTCAGCTGCCTAGCACCAGCTCCCACATTTGGCCCATCAACCTGTATTCTGCCTAATAGCGATGCTGAACAGCAAAGCAGGGACTTGTGGTGTGGGACTGCCGGTTAATACAGTAAACTGCAAAGTCGGTTTGGGCCATAAAGGCGGGCAGTTCCAACTCACCAGCTGCTCCTTGGAAACACTGTACAGGGTACAGGGTCGCTATGAGTCAGATCCGACTCGACAGCACTTAGCTTTTTTAACAACAGCAGAGCAAAGTAGAACTGCCCCATGGGGGTTGCCATCTTCAAGGGAGCAGCTGACCACATCTTTGTCCCAGAGAGGATAGTGGGTTTGAACCACCCACTTTTCAGCAGTCAAGTGCCTGACCACTGTGTCAGCAGGGTTCCACTTGTTAAGTGTCATCGAGTCAGTTCCGACTCATGACTGGCCTATAGGGAGTGGCTTTCCAAGGAGTGGCTAGTGGCTTTGAACCGCTGACCTTGCAGTTAGAATTCCAGTGCTTATCCTAAACCACCATGCCAGGACTCCACAAACACAGTGGCGGTGGTGGTTCTGTGCCGTGGAGTCAATTCTAACTCAGAGCTACCTTGTATAGGGTTCCTAAGGCTGTACATTTTAAAGGGAGCAGATAGCCTCATCTGTCTGCTGCAGAGAGCTGGTAGATTCAAACTGCTAACCTTGCAGTTAGCAGTCCAACTCCTAACACACTACGCTACCAGAGCTTCTTCCATAAGATACTTGCTGTTATTGTTAAGTGCTGTCGAGTCTGTTCTGACCCATAACAACCCTGTGTAGGGTTTCTGAAGAGTGGCTGATGAATTTAAACCACAGACCTTGTGGTTCAAACTGACTTTGCAGTCCAGTGCATTATCCCACAGCGCCACACCAGGACTCCCCAGAATACAGTAGAGGCCCGTAGTGACATGGAGCTGCTTAAAGTTCAGGGAAGACTAAGGGAGACATTAGGGCTTTGGCAGAAATGACCAGCCATCAATTCCACTTCAGCTACCACTTCCTTCCGGGGCCTGAGGCTCTTTAGACTGCAGCCGTCAGACATTTTCGGATGTTCAGGAGCCTGAGAATCCACTTCTCCAATGAAAATCACTTCCAATCTCAGTTTCCTTCCACCCTCTGCTTCCAAGTCTGACTGAATTGCTCGTGTTGTCAATGAATTTTAATCTGACAGACAGGATAAGAGCATTCCTCACAAACATCAAAAGCAAACACCTTTTTAGCTCGCAGAAGTGGTATTATGCCATTAGCCACGTAAGGTAGCTTGCAAAGGCTTTCACTACGTGGCAAGAATTTGTAAAACAAACATGCATAGAGCTACCATCATCAGCATTTCTGCCAAACAATTGTCCTCGCAAATGCACCAGACATGGTAGAGGAACTTGCAGAGAGAAAACGGATCTGCCCAAGGTTTCCAGCCACCAGGAAGTCTCCCTACCTCCAGCCCCCAGTTCCTCATGACTCTAGCAATGGGGACATCTTGATCCTAATGACTTGGAAGTAAAGACCCTTGGGGCCAAGGTCTGGCATGGGATTAGGGACTAGCATGTCAGGGTGTCCCTAATTTCAGGTATGAACCTAGGAGAGTTTCTAAAAGCTCATCTTCACCACTGTCCCACCACAGACCAGCAGGAACATGGGATGAAGTGACATGTAGAAATTCTTGGAAAATACACAGTGAGGTAAACTAGGTAGACTGTGGTGGGCTAGAGCCCACTAGTGTGTACAAATTGCTCAAGCCAAACTATGCTTTCTTCAAATTGATCTGAGAAACTGAATCAGGATCCACCATTTTCTTTCCTGTGGGCAGGAAGCTGGCAACACCACGATTATCAAGGAAGAGCGCCCCGGCCCCACATACCCTCCTGGAGCACCCCAATCCCATGGCATCAAGTCAGCTCTGACTCCTAGTAACCCTATTCAAACTGACCTTGCAGTCCAACTGTGGGTTAATGTGCTGGACTGCAAAGTCAGTTTGAACCGCAAGGTCAGCAGTTCAAGCTCACCAGCTTTCTCCTCAGAAACTCTATACAGGGTCACTATGGGTCAGAACCAACTTGACGGCACTCAACAGCAATAACCCTATAGAGTCCTGGTGTGATGCTGTAAGGTAAGCACTGGATTTCTACCTGCAAGGATGGTGGTTCAAACCCATCATTTTCAAACTCAGAACCCTACGCAGGGTCACTGGAACTGACTAGATGACACTTTATGACAATAATCACCCTACAAGACAGAGTAGAACCGTCCCAACGAGTCCCCAAGGCTGTCATCTTCACTGAAGCAGACGGCTTCATCTTTCTCCCTCAGAGCATCCAGTGGGTTCCAACTGGCGAATTTTCAGTTAGTGGGTGAGCTCTTTAATCACTGTGCTATCATGGCTCCTTGGTTACATAACCCCAAACAAACCAGTGCCATTGAGTCAGTTCTGACTCACAGCAACCATGTATGGAGTTTTGAGGCTGCAAATCTTTACAGAAGCAGGAAGCCTCATCTTTCTCTCAAGGAGAGGCTGCTGGGTTTGAACTGCCAACCTTGAGGTTCTCAGTCCAGCGCTGATGGTACAGCGCCACCAGGGCCTATGTCTAAGGCACAGTCCTCTGCATATCAATGTGCCCAGACGTGTCCAGAGAGTACCTCGAGATAGAATCACACAGTTTGGAGTAAACATAGTGACCGTGGAGAGACAGACAGGATTGTGTTTGGGGTATCTCTCTGGAGCCCTAGGCCCATTTAACTAGGTTCCCAGAGCCTTTACAAGGGCAGAGACAGGATTGTGAGTAAGTGTACACCCCCCATAAACACCGGTCATCCCGGGAGCCACCTGCTGGGATGCTGTCTCCTTACTCTTCATGCTTTGCATGTGAAAATGGCTCAGAAGGACAGGAGTGAGCCTCACACCCCTCCAACACAAGATTGGAGTCTCGGTGAGGCTCTGGTCAGCTGTAGGGAATGGGCGCAGAGTATGAAGAAGTGAGCTGTATCCTGAAATGCTTGCTGACTTCTAGCAGCAAGCCCATCTGGGAGCAAGGTTTTCTTGGTTATGTTAGTGAGGCCCTTCCAGTTCAGGGTGTCCTAACCCTAATCTCTGCTTTGAAATGGAAAGCAAGTGCAAAGAGCAGGGTCATAGGAAGACCCCAGAGAATCAAAGGACGCCAGGGTACAGAAGTTAAGATCAGCACCTTCCCTGAGAACCAACACCCTGAATTCAGACTTCTAGCTTCCTGGCCTGTGAGAAAATCATTTTTATTCTTTAAAGCTCCCCACTTGTAGCACTGGTATGGCAGGAGAAATTAGGACACCAGTCATGTGGAAGGGGCAGGAGGCTAGGGATGCTGCCCTGTCCACTGCTGACTGGGAAGGGTACACTGCTCTGAATCAGCCCCTCCAGAATCCATAGCTCACGCTCCCCCATCCCACGGCCCAAAAGTTCACAGTTCAGTCCCCTGTCCCAGGACCCAACAGTCACACTCCCGTTACCAGGGCTACACCGTTTGGGCTGGAGGAAGGTTTAACAGCCAAAGGGGTCTGTAGCAACACCCAGCCCTGCCCTTGTAGACCTGGAGCCTCCAAACTCTCACCTTTACTCCTCGAGGGCCTGGATAACCGATAGGACCCTGGGGGCCAGGCGGACCCTAGAACCAGAGAGAGAAAACTGCAAACACCATCACCCCAGCCTGCCCCTCCAACCCACATATCCCTCCTGCTTCCAACACAGAGACCACAAAAGTACCCGTGGGATGGACCTCTGTTCCCAGCACTGACCAGACTGAGCCCTAACTTCTAGTCTGTCCAGCGTCTCTTGGTTCCAACCCTTGCCTGTATCAGTATCCCACCATCTATTCCCACTCCCACCCAGAACGACAAGCTCACTCAGTTGGCCATGGTTAAAGTGGGAGGTGGGTGGAAGTGGGGGCGCTATGGAATACCAATGGTACCTGCACCCCTTACTTGTGCTAATAGGAGATGGGCAGGTCCACAGACAGGGAGGTGCCTGCCAGTCCCCTACATGAGAACCCTCAGTAGGACCACTAACGGGGTCTCCCAGAGCAAGGATGGAGCTCAGAGCCTGGGACCTGCTCTCTAGGAGAACTGAAAGGGAGAAAGGGGGTGGGGGTGCATTGAATACCTACCTGTCCTCCTTTCTCTCCTGGAGGGCCTTCCTTACCGGGGTGCCCCTGTCACAGAAAGAAGGTTCTGTTAGTCAGCTGCCTCCTCTGAAAGCAGCCTATCCCAGGCTCAGATTCCTTTTCAGCATGCTAGATAAGTGACGTTGATGGTCTAAGTCCTTGATTCTTCTTCAGTATAATAGATAGGTGACGTTGATGGTCCAAATCCTTCTTGCCTCTTCCCTCCCCATGGGAATAGAAATTCGGACCCTCAACTGCCTCATTCACTATGACCTGCCCTCAACAGCATGGATGACAAAGAGGGACAAGCTTTGAAACCAGCAAGCACAGGAGAAACACAGCCCCATCCAAAAGATTCCTGATTCAGCCAGAACCCAGCCCGCCTCCAGGTGTAGACTCCACAGAAGATGGATGGCACAGGCACCGTGGGCTTGGCTCAAGGTGACCCAGCAAAGCAAGTCCCGCAGGACCAGAAATGAGGCCCAGACCTGAGCACCAGGAGCTGGAGCTTTCTGTATTGGCAGAAAAAAGTGGAGTGTCTGATGGTCAGGGGAAAACACAGAGAAGGGAGAGCTGGGCAAAGACAGAGCCCTGTCACACATGAGGGGTCCCCAAGTGGGTGTCCCAACACCCAAGGGGGCCTCGTAGGCTCAAGGGGAGCTGGAACACAAACACAACAGGTTTGACGCTAAGTTCCCCAGAAATGACCATGTCTGTTCAGTCACCATCTCTATCCACCTGGGCCCAGACCACCTCCCTCCTCTGGAAGGAGAGTTTTCTGACCCCAACACAGGCTGCCTGCAAAGACTGAACACTTTGGGTTCCTGTCAGGGAAATGCAGATGAAGAAGGCAGGGAGGGACTTCTGGGACAACATGGAGGAGTAGGAGATGAGCTGAGCAGACCCTTTCCAACAAGGACATGCAGACAATTGACACAGACAACACATGGTTATCCTGGAACATTGAGCTTCAGAGGACAGGGCAGAGGCATGGATCAAGTGCCCACTGAACAGGAGAAAGAAGGAAAACGGGCAAACTGTGGACTGGTGCGGAGCTGTGCAGTCATCTCGAGCTTTTTTGGGCAGACACAGGACGTGGCTGGAGGTTGGCAGCAAGAAGGGCGAGGTTCTCCCTTGTTCCACGCCCTCCTGGTAAGTGGAGGGGCATCTAGTCCCTGCTTTCACCAACCCAGCAACTAGTAGCATCTTCTGCATAACCTCAGCTCTGCCTGGGCTTGTGTGTTGGGAGCCACCCCTGCTTCTGGAGGTGTGTGGACCCACCCTAGACTACGGTACACAAACAGTGAACATAGAACTACACTGGCACTTCCAGTCTCTATCACATCCACCAGGAGACAAGAGGTGAGTTTCTGAGAGCACACCCTCACACAATCATCAGTTAGATATAAATACAACACCACAGCATCTCAGAGAAAGCACAGCTTCAGTTCACATAAACAGTCAAGACAGAGTACCTCACGATGGAGCAGCTGGAGACTTTAGATCCAGAGAGGGAGAGCGACTGTGTGCTGAAGACCTGGGGGGTACGGGGGAAGGATTGCATGGAGGGGATTGTAACCATGACAATTAGATGATATACAATAGAATGAATGTAAAACTAATGTTCTCCCATGTAAACTATCACATAATTCACAATAAAACATTTAAGGAAAAAAACAGAGTACCTCAAACAAGTGACCAAAATACAGAGTCAGAAAATATAACACCAGAAATGGTATCAGGACTACATGAAAAGGAACTTAAAAAGAAGGATACTTCGATGGCTTGAGAGAAAGACTGAGGAAAGCAAGAACACTGAAAAACTTTACAAGAATTCTGGAAAACACTACAAGGAAAAACTGACAAAGTAAATGAAAAATTGGAATGCATACAAAAACAGTAATTAGAGAGCCAGAAGGTTAACACTAAGACTTCAGAAACAGATAGAAGCAGAATTGAATCAATTGAAGGCTGCATTACTGAGCTTGAAGACAAATCTCTCAAAATTCATCTGTTAAAGGAACAATCAGAAAAAATTCAAAACTCTAAAGAAAGTCTAAGATGTATGTGGGACACTATCAAGAGGAATAATTTATATGTGACTGGAATTCCAGAACAGGAAGAGACACAAAAAAAAAAAGAAAGAAAGAAAAAAACAAACATTGAGAAAATTGTTCAAAAGTTGTTGGAAGACAATTTCTCTAACATCATAAAAGATCAGAAGATAGCCATTCAAGAAGCTAAATCAACTCCAAACAGGGCAGACCCCAAAAGAAAATCACCAAGACATGTTATAATTGAACTTTTTGAAACCAAAGACAAGAATCCTGAGTGCAGCTCAGGAAAAATGAAAAGTTACCTACAATGCAAAGCTAATAAGAATCAACTCTAATTTCTCAGCAGAAACCATGTAGCCAAGAAGACTATGGGATGATGTATACAAAACTCTGAAAGAAGAAAAAACAAACAAACAAAAAAGAATCATATACCCAGCAAAACTGTCCATCAAATACGCTGAAAAATTAGGACATTTCCAAATGAACAGAAATTAAAAGAATTTGTCAAAACCAGGACACCGTTACAAAAAATACTAAAGGGACTTATTCGGACAGAGAACAAACAATAACAGACAATAACCTGAGACTAACATACACGACAATATCACCCAGACCTCAACCTAGATGTTGTTGTTGTTGTTGCTACGTGCCGTGGAGTCAGTTCCAACTCATAGCGACACATAACCCTGTACAGGGTTTCCGAGGCTGTAAATCTTTATGGGAGCAGAAAGCCTCATCTTTCTTCTGTGGGACAGCTGGTAGTTTTGAACTGCTGACCTTCAGGTTGGCATCCAAACTCATAACCACTACGCTACAGAAGTATCTAAAGTAAAACAGACCTTGGTGGTGACTGTGTGCCTGACTCATAGGCCCTGTCAAGTTTCTGAGGCTGAAATCTTTCTGAGCAGAAAGCCTCATCTTTCTCCCACAAAGTGACTGGTAGATCCTAACTACTGACCTTGTGGCTAGCATTGTAGCTTGTCATCCACCACAATACCAGGGCTCCTTAAAACAGATCTACCAGACTGAAAATAGGACCCCAGGAACATCAGTTTGCAGCAACAACAAAATTAACCATAAAGTAAAAGGAGGGAATAGTGTAGTTACATAAGATCTAAATGAAGAGCAAATCAAACTTCAAGAAAATAAATAAATAAAATTAAACCTGATTTAATCTTTCAAACTGGACCAAGCCCTGGTCCGTACCCCACCCCTAACACTAACCCTAGTCCTAACCCTAACCCTAACCCCGAACAAAGTTCTAGGCTTTGCCCAGACCTAGCCTTAGTCCCAACCCTAACTCTACTCCTACCCCCAATAAAGAAAGAAAGGAAGGGAGAAGGGGCAGAGGAGGGTGGACGGGAGGGGGAAAACTCCTCACTGCAGAAACAGTGCTGCCTGCCCCACACCCACACCCACCCCGGGATTTCCAGTCAGAAGACTGAACCCACCCACTGTGTGACCTCAAACTAGTCACTGTCCACCCGGGGCCTCCACTTCCTCATGTGTGAAATGAGGGCTGGCCCAAGCATCTTCTTAGACCACTGACTGATGGGTCCCACCTCTGAACGACTGGTTTCTATGTCTTCTTACACTGGTGAGTTGCCGGATTGGGGCTGATACCTTAGAAAGAGCCAATCACTTTGGTAAAGAGTATTGGAGGTGGAGTTGGAACCCACAACGGGTCCCTGAGGGAACAGCTAACCTCGCCTATTGATAACTTAGAGATTTAGTCACCTGCAGCAGAGAGCTACTCCCAAACCAACCCCACACCCAGAGTGCCGACAGGTCCATGCCTACTCCTAGGGTCCTGTGGGGCAGAGTAGAACTGCATCATGAGGTTTTGGAAGCTATACGTCTTTACGGAAGCAGTCTGCCTCTTCTTCCTCCTACAGAGCCAGCTGCTGGGTTCAAACCACCAACCTTTTCTTTAGCAGCCCAGCATTTTACCCACTGTGCCACCAGCAACCCTGTCAGAGTTGCTGAGTGGGTTAAAAGCGAGAACACTGTCTTCACCGCAAATGGCAAGCAGAGGTTTGTGGTGGTCATTATTACGGTTACTGGCGTTGAAGCTAGACTTCTTTAACCAGCTCCCCACCAGCCCACCCCAACTCACGGTGCCCCCACGTGTGTTCCAGAGGGCTTTCAGGGGCTGAGTTGGGGAAACTGACTGCCAGCCTTTTGTGCCCAAATGCCTCAGGGTGGACTGGAATCTCCAATCTTTCAAAGACCAGCCGCACATATTCACTGTTTGTACCGCCCAGGAGTTCCCACATTTCCTTAGATAAATTACCCATTGAATTTAGAAAATGAGAGTAACTTTGTGAGAAAAAAAGAGACAAAACTCTCTTAGGAAAAAGATTGGAACAGAAAAAGATGAAAAGGAGACAGACCAGGAATAGCATGATTGATTTTTTTTGCTATAAAGAACTGGACCATTTTCCTCTTTCTTTCTACCTGTTTGCATTTCCCAATATCCTATAATGAACATTACTTTTCGAATGGAAAAATAATAAAACTTAAATTACTAGTACTTGATTTTTTCTGATTAAAAAAGTAATCTATGCTCATTAGACAAGGAGCAAAGAAAATGAAAATCCTTTGGACTCTTACTACTCAGACTCGGCCGCGGCTGAGCTGTGATACATGGCCTCAAATCTTTGTTCTCTGCACATGCGCAATGTAATAGTGGTACCATAGGAGATGTTTTGATCTGATATTGCATGGTGAGCATTTCTATCCTCACTGGATAGTCCATTAAACTATTTTTACTTGCTCCATTATATGTATCCCGATTCCTGGAACTACCCCCTGCTGTGGCTTTCAGGAACTATGAAAGTGTTTCAAAAACATTCATGGAAAGGTAGAATTAAAAGATGATAAAATTTTTCGGTGAACTTTTTGAAGAATCCTCATATTTAAAAAATACACTCGTGCACTTTTGGAGTGCCTTGACTATAAAGCATAAGCCCACAAGGCCCACAGTCTGAGCCTACAAGTCGTGCAGAGGGAGAAGGATGAAGCTTTCTGCTCCCTCAATGATTTACAGCCTCGGAAACCCTATCCAGGGTCCGTCTGAGTCAGAACCGACTCGACAGCACTTAGCAACAATGACAAGTGGACTTAGTGTGCTTAGAACCAAGCCATACTTCTATATAGACATTTAGTCTCCCTCCTGCCCTTCCTCCGCCTCTTCCTCCCTTCTCTAAACCCAAACCAAACCAAGAAAACTTTCCTGTTTACCAACACTGAGTTGCCTTTATGGAGTCCCTAGGTGGTACAGTTCTA